ATGACCTCAAGTGATTCTTCTATAACGCTGTTCTGTTTCACCTGATTTCTTTAATCTTAGGTGGAGAGCTCTTCATGTATTTGAAACTCATCACTAGTTTTCCTACCTGAAGTTCTCCTACTCTCTGAAACTCTCAGTTTATTTAGAAATAGTGTATTCAGTTAACGTCCTGCTCTTCAGAACAGTGTTTTTGATGTTATTTCATTCAAAGGGGAAAGGGCCTTGGTGCAAAACCCCAGCTCTCTCAAGGACATCCCTGAGGGTAAGATCCTGAAGATTTAGCCAGACATGAAATCCCCACAAATTCGAATGAAGCTTTTCTTTGTCTAACTCCTCGAGGTTTACTTCCTCCCCGCTGACTCTGTATGTGAGGCAGAGCTCTGGGGACAGACAGGGAGAGGACAAAAAGCTGTTTGGTGTATTTACTTCTTTATTTACTGGAGTGCCTGTGGCAGACTATCCATGGAAAACTCTCCCGTGGGCAGAGAGGTGAGCACTGCACCATCCTGTAGATGACGGGAAATTTTGCATTGTGTGGAGCATCAACCTGAGGATGCTGAAGGGCCTTTAATTGTATAAAAAGAAATTTGACTTTGTGTAAATATTGTGGGGGAGGCTGATAATAAAACATCAAGAATGTCAAAAAAAAAAAATATAATGATCAACACCTGAAATTTATATAACATTCTAAACCAATGTTACTGCAATAAAAAAAAAAATAATAATAATAATATCCCCTTTATCACTCATTGTTATCAGAAAGCCCAAATCAGTTAATTATATTGAGAGCTCAACAGGTTCCACATTCCACCCAAGGTGCTGGTTCCCTAGTTCCATTCCATTTGGGTGCTTTCCCAGATCGGAGTATCAATGTGACACAAGTTGTATTTCCTAATTGATTATGTTGAACTCAATATTGTTGTAAAAAAAAACAACAACTGCCACAACAGAATTTCTTTACTCATTAATACATTATTGATCTCCATATATTAGTTGTGGCAGAGGGGACCAGGCCTTAATCAACTTTGATCCTTTTCAAATAGCATAGATGTTTTCTTAACTGCCATATACCCCACATATAATACTTGGTATTTCAAGGGCAGAATTAGTTTCATATGCCAGGATATGAACACAGGCCATGAAAGTCAATCAGGTGTTTAATTTATATCTCTAAAGGGAAACATTTTTTCCCCAAAGAACAAAAATAAAAGAAGTTTTATTTGTAATTTAATCTTTTGTTTTTTTAACAATTTGAGATATAATTCACATCCCATACAGTGCACACAAATCAAAGTATACACTTTACTGATTTTTAATATACTCACAGAGCTGTGACACCATTACCACACTCAACTCTACAACATTTTTATCACCCCAAAAAAGAAACCCCAAACTCACTAGCAGTCACTCCCACTTCCCCTCAAACCCTCCAGCCCAAGGCAACCACTAATCTACTTCTTCGATACATAGATTTGCCTAGTCTGGACATTTCAAATAAAATCATAAAATATGTGGTCTTTTGTGTCTGGCGTCTTTCACTTAGCTAACATTTTCCAGGTTCGTCCATGTTGTAGTATGTATCAGTACTTCATTTCTTTTTTATTGCCAAGTAATATTCCATTGTATGGATATGCCACATTATGTTTATTCATTTATTAGTTGATAGATATTATGGCTTATTTTGACTTTTGGCTATTACAAATAACGCTGCTATGAACATTTGTTTACAAGTTTTTATGTGGACATATGTTTTCATTTCTCTTGGGTGTATACCTAAAAGTGGACCTGCTAGGTCATATGGCATTTTGGGGAACTGTCAAACTGTTTTCCCAAACAGCTGCACCATTTTATACTACCACCAGCAGTTTATGAGGGTTCCAATTTCTCCACATCCTCACCAACAGTTCTTATTATTTTTTATTATAACTATACTGGTGGATATGAAGTGGTATCTCATTATTGGTTTGATTTGCATTTCCCTGATAGCTAATGATGTTGAGCATCTTTTTATGTGCTTATTGGCCTTTTGTATATCTTCTTTGGATAACTATCAACTCAGATCCTTTGTCCCTTTTTTAAACTGGGTTATTTGTCTTTTTACGGAATTATAATAGTTCTTTATGTATTCTAAATACAAATTCCTCCCTTACTTGATATATGATTTGCCAAAATTTTCTCTCATTCTGTGGGTTATCTTTTTGTTTTCTTGATGGTGTCCTAAGAAGCACAAAAGTTTTAAATTTTGATGATTTCCAATTTGTCTATTTTTTTCCTTCTGTTTCTTGTGCTTTTGGTGTTATTTACTTAAGAAACCATTGCCTAATCCAAGGTCACGAAGATTTACGCTTATGTTTTCTTCTAAAAGTTTTACAGTGTTTGCTCACACATTTAGGTCTTTGGTCCATTTTGAGTTAACTTTTAGATATGGTGTAAGGTAGGGATCCAACTTCATTCTTTTGCATGTGGATATCCAGTTGTTCCAGCACCATTTGATGAAAAGATTCTTTTCCTCTGTTGAATTGTCTTAGCATCCTTTTCAAAAATCAATTGACCATAAATAGCGAGGGCTACTTCTGGACTCTCAATCTATTCTTGTTTTATTCTTTTTCATGCTATTGTAAATTGAACTGTTTTCTTAGTGTCATTTTTATTTCATTCATTGATATTATATAGAAACACAATTGATTTTTGTATATTAATATTGTATCCTGCAACTTTGCTGAATTCATTTACTAGGTTCTAATGTTTTCTTAAGAGTTCCTTTGGATTTTCTACATATAAGATCATGCCATCGGCAAACAGAGATAGTTTTACTTCTTCTCTTCCAATCTCGATGTGTTTCATTCATTTCTTGCCAAATTGCCCTGGCTAGACCCTCCAGTACAAGTTGAATAGAAGTGGCAAGAACAGACATCCTTCTCTTGTTTCTGATATTAGGGGGAAATCCTTCAGGCTTTCATCACTAAGTATGATGCTAGCTATGGTTTTTCATTGATCCTCTACATCAGGTTGAAGAAATCCCCTTCTATTCCTAGTTTGATGAGTGTTTTTAACATGAAAGGGTATTGGATTTTGTTAAATGCTTTTGCTGTGACTAATGAGGCGATCATGTGGATTGTGGTTTAATCTTACCTATTCCCTTTTCTAAACACTCAAGAGAAAACTATAAGAAATGACCTTTACTAAATAAATCATAATTTTATAAACAAAGCACAAAATAGCATTATTGCAATGGTTTGTATATAGGTAATCTAAAATCTAAGTGAATCAATTTGAAAAATACAAAAATATAGCTGCCTAAGGAAATTTTTTCTTACTAAAAAGATATAACATTATCTGCTGATTATAGGAAAAAATATTCTTGTAAGAAAAAAGTTGCACAATAAATTAATGAATAGCACTATCATTATCATTTTTACATACACAGGAAAAAAAATACATGGTAGAATTATTAAAGTTATCTGGTAATTACTGGCATCTCCTGTTTCAAATGGTTTCATATTAAAATAGAGATAGATATTTCAAAAATGCCATTGCATTGACTTAATCAAAACATATTATGCTCTAAAATAGCACATTAGCAAGCATGTTCATTGCATAAATGTCCATAGCTGTGTTGCCTGGAAAGATAAGAACAAAATGTAATTTTCAATTATGGTTTCATTGTGCTCTGTGTAGTATATACAATGCCTTCTGCTTTAATCCGTTCCAATATTGGTCCATAGATCTCCTTTGAAAAGGGCCCCATCAGACCTTTAGCTTGAATTTCACCTGAAATAAAATAAATTTGTAATTACCATTTTAAAGGTAGTGTTAAAGGTTAACTTCCACAGCAGGAGTCTCCATACAGCAGTAAACTCAGAGTCAATGAATTGTTGGAGACCTAGGCATTTTTAAAATAGCTGCTTAAATGTCCCCTACTAAATTATTACTTAGTCAACACTCTGTAAAGAAAAGGTGTTAATTTTAGATTGAAAACACAGCTGGACTTAGGAACAATGTCAGAATTCATACATTTAACTGTATGAACTACTGCCAAGACACAGAATAAAGTACAGTAAAAAGGTAATGTAAACCTAACTAATCTGCTTTATTTGCTGATGTTATTATTTTTTTTTTTTTTTTAAAAAGCATAACACCAACAGAAGGAATTAAAACCAATTTGATTATTTGGGCACAGGCATCTGTTAGGATGGTTGAAACTGTAAGTCTGGGCACTTTTCCTAAAGGCCATGATGACCTCATCCCTTAATACAGTCACATGTCGCTTAACGAAATGGATACATTCTGAGGAATGTGTCGTTAGGTGATGGCATCATTGTATGATCATAGAATATACTCACACAAACCTAGATGGTTTAGCCTACTACACACCTAGGCTACATGGTACTAATCTAATGGGGCCACCATTGCCATTGACCAAAATGTCACAGTGCGTGACTATACTTCTTCCTTCTGGTTCCTCAATAACTAAGTAGGTGGTTTAATTTGATGTTAGCTGATATGCTATTATAGATATGTTTTCTCATTATTGTACATTTATATACTTTGATGTTTTCTCTCCCCTCATGCTTTCACAAGGGCCAAATGGGGTATTATATTCAGAGTTAATACTTATTGAATGTATATGTGACCTTAAGGGGAGAGTGGAAAGTTGAAATTTGAATCCTTTAGTCCAAAATATTTATTAAGTACTGATAACATGCTGAGATATGAAGATTAATAAAACATGGCCTATATTCTTGAAGATCTGGAAGTGAATATCCTCCGCTATTTCGGTGTTACCGCCCCAAAAATATGAAAAACCAAGGAAAGAAAGGAAGGGAGGCAACATTCTCTGGGGGCCCTTTATGTGTTATTTCGCTTAAGAGTCATGACAACTCTGTGAATTAGAGATAACAATCCCCACATTAAAAATGGAGAAACTCTGGGGCCGGCCCGGTGGCACAGTGGTTAAGTGCACATGCTCCACTTCAGTGGCCCAGGGTTCACAGGTTTGGATCCTGGGTGCGCACCAATGCACCAGTGGTCAAGCCATTCTGTGGCGGGGTTCCTCCATATAAAGTAGAGGAAGATGGGCATGGATGTTAGCTCAGGGCCCATCTTCCTCACAAAAACAAATAAATAAATAAAAATAAAAAAAATTAAAATGGGGAAACCCTGGCTCAGAAATGCTGAGTAATTTGCATCCCATCACTCAGCCATCTTGTGACTGAACTGGGACAGAAATCAGGTCTAACTCCAAAGCCCATGTTCTTTACTCACTACAAGGTGACCTCCAGTCACCTCCAGTTAGCCAGCACTTGGATCTTCTGAGATAGCTCACTTTTTGTGAATGCCACTGTTATGCTCAAGAGTAATTATTTGATGTCCAGGCACTGAACGACTTGGAGATGATATGGCCATAGACTCAGTCCTCCAATGAAAGAACTTACCATCAAGTAACATCTTGGCCACCATAGCAGTGGGTAACCCCACAGTTTTAGCCATGGCTGAAAAGCCATTGACATCCCCATAAACCACAAGATCAATAGTTTTACTTTCTAGATGTCCAGAAGGATGTCTGATTCCAAAGCTGTCTCTCATCACAATCATATCTTTCTCTCCAGGGCCTTAAAATAAATAAACAAAAGTTTTTAAATGCTACTATCATCACAACTCCAATATTGTATTTCACCTCCTGCTCCTGCCCTTCTGTTCTCACAAGTTTCCCCTCCCATTATATATGGTCCTTAAACAATTATCTATACTGCTTTTTAGTCCAAAGAACAAGTGAAAAACTCAAGGAAATTATAACTCTGATCACGTTCCTCTGTCCAGGTTGGTATCACCACGGCCTGGCTATGGACATGAGGGCACTGCTGTAGAGGCCACCTACTTTTCTCCCCAAAATGCTCCTTTAACATTTCCCTAATGCATTAAAAATTAAAAGTAAAACTAATATTTTTTTCCTTTCCTATGTTACTGAAGTCCATTCTTACTTAATATTTCTCTTGTTCTTCCCTCTGGAAAAACAGCCCAAGTGCTCTTTCCCTCATATAGGACTTCTCCATTCCTACTGCTTCTTCTTCCGGGATGTTTAGCTAATACCCCATAGCCTACCATAGGAAAGTTTCGTGACCAAATGCTTGGAGAGCGCATCCACAACAGATTCTGCTGGAGGGACTTGTTCATCCCCAAGTAAGCCCAACCTGAGGAGCACAAGAGATGGCTGCATTAGTTCAAGGCCTATACACATTCTCGCTTGGAAGAAGAAGGGAGCTCCTTGGATTTTATCTTGAAAGGGCAGAATCACAGGATGACAGTCCCAGTTAAGTTATAGGACTCTCCTAAATTGCAAAATATAGCAATGAACAATAGTAATGTTTTAACCTTTAGAATTATCCCCAGACTCCCCAAGGCAGTGCTCCCTGGAGCAGAACTAACACATTGTAAATTCACGCAGTTGCAAGCTTTCTATGAGATTAATTTACAGGTGAGTTCTCCCACATTAGGGATACCAGCATAATGTGCCACAGCTGTGTGGATAAGTGTTTTAAAGTTGTTGGAAGAAGACTTGGAGAATCTCCTACAAGAGAGAAAAAATATCTCACCTTTCTCAGAAACTGAGTAGTAAAGTGTCTCAAAATAAGTATTACCCAAGTTATAATCGCCATTGAATTTCTCTCTTTATCTACTTTTTATCCCCACATGAACATGGTACATGGTAATCTCTCTATAACGAGCCAACACTAGAGCAGCAAATTAATCAGACAATGTAAAATGTTTGGTTCTATCTTGACTTTTCTTTGACTAGAAAGGACTAAGTAATCATTGATCCAGTATTTTTCTCTAAGTTGATTGGTGGGTGCCTACCATTCAGCAGCCTCCAGCTGAGTATCATCTCCTCCTAGTTTCTTAAGGACAGCTTCTTTAAGCACATCATGCTTGGAGGAGGGTGAAATCCCAACTAGATCACAGAGGAGTTCTTTCTGGTTAGAAAAATAAAGATAAAAATTCTAAGTTCCTAATAAAATAAAAATAAGTTGAGAAATTATCCTATTAAGACATTGGACCTCAAATGTACCTCAAATTTTAAATTAGAAATAATTAGAAACAGTAAATTGTAACACATACATGTGCATACATATATGTTCTCACACCCACACACCAATAAACGCATGGTATTCCAGAATGATATTTCAGCAATAAAAATGGGTCATAACATCAAATCAATACTAAACAGATGGTACCATATTTACCATCACATTTCCTGCCTTTGCATGTCCTCTCCATCACTTTTTCATCCATTCTCCCTCATCCCCCAGCAGTCCATTTTGGCCAGGATAAAGTGGAAGGAGCTTATTACTGTGGTTGCTAGTAGCAACCAGAGTTCTTCTGTAGGTTCAAGAGATGAGAAAGACCTTGCAGATAATAAAATCTCAAAGGAAGAACACTTAAACAGTGGTCACAGCTTTTTCTGCTTTCTGAACAAGACTTTTTCACAGGCTCCCAAGGAAAAAGTTATGCTCTAGATTAAGGATCAATAAACTGGTTCACAGGCCAAAGTCAGCTCGCCATCTGGTTTTATAAATAAAATATGTTATTGGAACACAGCCATGCTCATTTGTTTATGTATTGTCTATGGCAGAATTGAGTAGTCTGACAGAGACTGTGAGGCCCATAAAGCCTAATATATTTGCAATCTGGTCTTCTACAAAAAAAGGTTGCCAACCCCATTCTAGATTGTAGCTAACAAGATATTTGGACCAGCCTCAAGAATGTCTGCACCAGATTTCCTAATCCAGCTGCTTCAGCCTCAGATTCACTTTATAGATATTTATTCACTCCTGTCTAACGAGTAGATTTGTGAAAGGTAAAATTTAGTTTGGAAAGGCTCTCAGAGATACAAAAAGCTGAATTTAAAAGCAACTGGCTAGCAAGAATACCAAAGTTTCTTTGGGAGACTTAATGAGTTTAGCAATATTGATCCTTTTCTCCTTGTGATCAATTTCTGGCATTTCTGCTGGAATACGGGCATTAATTCAACTTGGAGCTCAGCTAGTAACAAGCTAATTCCTGGCAGTTAATGGACCAAGTTATACTTTACGTTCAGTTCCAAACCTCCAAAGTCCCTTCCAACCCTGAGACCCTAGGATTTAGTACAACACAGATATGGGCATAAACTCAGTAACTGAAAACTCAAATTACTCATGGCTACAAATGGCCAAATGAAAAAACTGATGGGGTTCGGGGGTTGGGAATCCAGTTCTGTGATACCACCAGTAGCTCTCCTGCATTATCAGTTTTAGGAGGCCCAAGCTTAGCTCCTGTCACTGGGTCACCACTTAGACAAGAGGTAACCACAAGTGGTAACCACTCAGAGCTCAATGCAGAGAGCAAGTCCATTTCTTCCCAGGGCTGAGGGAGCAATCAAGTGGTAGAAGTTGCTGCAGGAAATAGGCCCAGTGAGTAAGCCTCCATGCTCTCTCCCTCCTCCCATATGGTGAAAGGAAAGGGGACTTTTGGGTTAAGGTTTATCTTCCTGCGCATAAGCCACAGAATGGGTTCTTTTGTTGGTCCAAACCAAAGTTCAAATCTGACCATATCAGAAGGCATTTCTGAAGAGCAGCAGACAATGTATAATTCTGGAGTCACTCACCCAGGTGACAGGGTTGGCCTCAGGTCCAAGGGCAGGGAATGTATCCCTGTCTAAAAGACCCAATTTTACAAATCCATTCAAGGCTTTGGCATATCCCTGTAACAAGAATTATTAAGCAGTATATGAAAATTTTCACTTTAAAGAAAAAAAACTAAAAAGATTTTTTGAAAAGAGGGATCTATCTTTGTAACTTGTTTAGAAATCAGGCTGAAAATAGTCATTTGTATTGCTTGTATGGATGCAACCACCTTCAGGTTCAAATCAAAATCAGCGGTGTCACATTTCCACTGCTTTATATAAGAGACCTTGCAAAACTTGAGTCTTTACTTCTGTTTCTGGATAACATGTGAGTGGTATTTTCTGGCAGCATAAGGGCAAATTTCCTTTTGTGTTTTATGCTTTCAGTTCAGCAGGATAGTATTTAATAGCACAGTTGTTCTCTTTCTTATAATGGAAGAAGGAGCTTGTAAGACTATTCCCCCAAAAAGCAGATAATGCATTCTACTGATCAAGAGCCACTATCCTAATGCATTTAAGGCGGAGGAAAAAATATCAGAGAAATTTTTCTAAAATGTCATCACTCTGATAAAAATTCCACATGGGTCCTTCATTGTCTACAGGACAAGTCTTAAGTCCTTGGCATATTATATAAAACCCATCCCAATACGCCCCTCCAGCCTGACTCATTATCACCATCTCACCATTCACCATTCCCCAAACATGCTGTGCTCTTCCAGAGACCTGGGCCTCTGTGCACGCTGCTCTTGTGCCTAGAATGTGGTAGCCACCATTCCTCACCTATGAAATGTTTACTCCTCCCTTAAGACCCAGCTTAGCATAACTTCCGAACCCCCTAGATGAGTGGGCACGCCTTTCTTCTCTGTACTTCTGTAGCATTTTGTATATATCTCTCTCACTGCGCTTAACACAAATCGTAATTAATTGTCTATTCAGCTGCTGTACTGTAGGTACAGAAAGCGGTGTGTGTGTTTGTGTGTGTGTGTGTGTGTGTGTGTGTGTCCTTCATCCCCATGCCCTCACCCCATTATCCAGCATTCCAGTGTGCTGAAAGAGAACAAATGACCGGATGAATAGATTCTGAATGAGAATGAAGCGAAGGAAGACCATAATAGCATGCTCCCCCTGTGAGCAAATCAGCGGGAAAAATGGGAAGACCAAAATAAGGGACTTTATTGTAGCTGCTGCAATTACTGAGAGAGAGAAAGAAAAGAAGGAGGAGGAGGAGGAGAAGGGCAGGAAATCATTTTGGAAAGCAATAAAGTTATTAAAATAAAAAATACTTCCTGTAGCCATTTAATGTGTGGTCAACCAGTAATTTTCACATTTCTGAAAGGCTGTATTATTCAAACTGTTCAAAGGTTACTAATTAAAGAATTCTCATTTATTTGCTCTAGCCCAATGTAAATATGCTACAAAGAGGAGAAACAAAAAAGCAATACCCCCAGCTTGCTTCTAGGATCTGACAAGTGCCAGAGATTCCTTCATCCCACATCTCAAACACCGAGACATTTCCAAACTATTTAATCTCAGAAATATATTTTTATGGTGACCTCTAGAAATGAATTTATTGTATGTATTGATTCACCAATAAGCATTTAGCAAACTGTGGCCACGTGTCAGACTTGTGCTAGCGGCTGAGGCTATAGAGATGAAAAATGTAGTCCTCACCCATGCAGAAACTGCAGAAACTGACCCAGAAGGGTCAGATAAGTGAAACAGATACTGCCTGGCACACAGTAAGCAAAACTACAGGACCACTGATGACTACACTACAGTAGGATATTATAGGTGCTATGACAGAGGTAAACACAGAGCTATGGGAGCACAGAGGAGGAGATGTTCACATAGATGTGGGGGAGGGGAGTCAAGGAGATGGAGTTAGGGAAGACCCCATGGGAAGGTGATATCAAGTTGGGTCTGGTAGGACAAGCAGGTGACGGGCAGGTACAGGAAAGTAGCCAAGGTCTCCCTGTCATACTTGGATGATAGTGCCTCATGTCCAATACTAGAAAGAATATTCCAGCTACTGAAAGGTTGCTGACATTGCTCAGCATGGTGGCCCTCATGGATATGAACACTGTGACATCTTCCATTGTCCGGGGTTCTGTGGGGATGGCTCTCATCCACACACATTCTTGAAAGCTTTATCCAATTCTTAAATCTCTTAAAATCCTCTATTCCTGGGTCTACATATTTGGCAAGAGACTATAACTAAAGCTATCAGAAAATCCTTATTCCTGGACCCCCCTGCACAGAAAAAAACGTTAAAACTTATATTCTTAGAACAAATTGAAGAAGACAGAATTAACAAATCTGCCAGACCTGGGGATGGTATGGCTTCAATTCAGACTAGAATTTCTGCTGTTTCTAAAGGCTTGTGGACCATCCATGTTCCTAGATCTCCTTCAGATGTTACCACTGACACCTCACTGGATTCCTGGACAGTGAGAATATCACATTCATGAGAGTAGAGGTATCTGCCCTCTGGGAGCTTAAAATCTATTTCAGGAGACAAGAAAAATATACATAAAAATCTAACTAAAAATGCTGGGATATAAATGCTAAGTGCCAATAAATGCAATAGAAGCTCTAAAGAGTAAGAAATGAAGTGGTCGTCTTCTCTTTAAGAAAGGGCCAGCCCTGTGGCATAGTGGTTAAGTTTGTGCACTCCACTTTGGCAGCCTGGGATTTGTGGGTTCGAATCCTAGGCATGGACTTACACACTGTTCATCAAGCCATGCTGTGGCGGCATCCCACATACAAAATAGAGGAAAATTGGCATAGATGTTAGCTTAGGGCCAATCTTCCTTACCAAAGAGAAAAAAAAAAAAGAATAAATAGGTGTTAGACATGGAGAAATGAGGCAAACCAGAAGCCAGTCTTCATGTGCCGACACTGTGGAAATAACCTCTGCTCTTACATTAATTTTTTCAGTTATTCCCTTTCACACATGAATAACTCCACCAGTGTTCACTGATTCCCGATGCCTACCTCATGTAGGGAAGGGAGATGGGAAACGTCCTGGAGGAGGGAGCTGTGATTTTCGATAACATGGTATGGAAAGCCTCACTGAGAACAAAGTCCTGAAGGAGCCAAAGGAGACTGGGGCAGATATCTGGGGGAAATGTTCCAGGCAAAGATAACAGCCAGTGAAAAGAGAAGAGAAGGGGAAAGCATGCACAGGAATTGAAGGGTTATCACTGACAGGCCCCTGCATCTTATACCTTTCAGAAAAAAGATAATTAGTGAATACTCGATAACACACACAAGACAAATCCCCTCTCTGGCCCTAGTCAGGAAATCTCACAGGGCAGAGAGATCTGAAATCAGATCTCCGATTTCCAGAGATGTATATATTTTAGGTATGCTGGTTGTAGTGGGTTGAGTACTGTCCCCCTCATAATTTATGGCCACCCAGAACCTCAGAATATGACCTCATTTGGATCTTTGTAGATATAATTAGTTAAGGATCCTGATATGAAAGCAACCTATATTTAGGGTGGGTCCTAAATCCAATGACTGGTGTCCTTATAAGAAGAGAGGACACAGCAAGACAAACACAAAAAGGTGATGTGGAGATGGAGGCAGAGATTGGACCAATGTGTCTACTAGTTAAAGAATGCCAAGAATTGCCAGCAACCACCAGAAGTGAGGAGAGAAGCATGGGACAGTTTCTCCCTCAAAGCCTCCAGAAGGTACCAATCCTCCCACAATTTGATTTCAGATTTCTGGCCTTCTGAATGGTAAGAGAATAAATTTCTGTTGTTTTATGCCACCCAGTTTTGTTATGACAGCCCTAGAAAATTATTACACTGACTGTCTTGATCTGGTCATACTTGTAACTACTCTCTCGTGATTAATAAATGAGTAGTGAACATTTGTGTTTATGCTTCTAGAATCTACACTCCATTTTGTGGTGAAAACATTTTAGATTTGCTTTGGAGAAAGTGACGCTGACCTCATCTTCAGCTTCAGGGATATAAAACAGAGGCCAAAGCTGACTGGCACACTTTATTCCACTGACCTTAGGGGCTAATGAGACACAAATTATATTTTTAGCCGAGACTATTTTCTTTTTTATTCTCACTGGATTTGAACCTAAGAGGCTGGAGTTGCTGCCACTGTCCTGCCGCCATGTGGAGCCTGAGACTGCAGCCAATACTTGAAGGAAGAGCTGAGAGGTGAGGAGAAACCAAGTTCCAGTGAGGTCACTTGACCCCCAAATCTCACTCCACCTGAAGCTGGCCCTTCACCTGCCCCCTACTCCTCATGAGTCAAAAATTCCCTTTTTGCTCAAGCCATTTTGAGTTGTCCCCTAAAACATTCAATCAAGAGTCCTGAGAAAATAGACTCCAACCTGGTTTACCATTTTAATTATTCTGATCACAAAGAAAAATTAAGTGTACACATCACTTACATCAAAACAGACAACATGCTTCATGTAAAGCATAGCTGCTTACCTTGTATCTCAGTGTCCCCCGCAACAAAGTGTGAGCAGACGGAATGCCATAGATCTCGGCATATTTTGTACTGTCTCTGTTAGGATAGCCTTCCAAATTTAATCCAGGAAAATAATCCATGGGAGTAACCACATCAAGAAAGGAGACCCCGCCTGCAACATTCACAACCTGAGGAACATTGAAAAGGCACACCTGGGTTACAAAAAGCTGTCCCCTCTTTGGGTTTATCTGCATTATTTGCACAATAAAGACATTAAAGTTTTAAAAGAAAGCAATAGAGGATTTGAAAAATAATTTTTAATGAAACTACCATAATCAGCACCCCATACTCAAGCCGTTCCACTAATCATAATTCACAAGGTTATTGTTCTCCCAAGCTTTAAAATCTGATTAAAGCATTTCATTTTCACTAAGATCTTGTTTTCTATTTTTTCCTGCCTCTAGATAAGGCAGTACTGAATTATGCCCCACTAGAGTTTTGTTTTGTTTATAAATAAATAATAAGCTAAAAGAAACAGATTCTCATTTAAATGACTGCTATGCTCAAATAGCAATGGCAATATTCTCGCTCTGTTCTTTTCTTTACTCCCACGCCACTTCTGAACGCCACATCAGTCACCAGTCTCATACATTTCACTCACACAGCTAGCATTTACAGAGCACCTTCCATGAATGTGCCAGGGATCACACTCATTGTGGAGGGCGTAAGGAGAGTGACAAATATCATACACTTCATGTTTCCATTCCCTCCTTTATTCATTGAATGTCTACCAATTGCCAGGAGCTGTGCTAGAGCAACTATAAGGAGCTCATGGCCTAGACTAGTCAACCTACAGTGCACGTTGGGAACCAGGAGGGAGGGAGATCTCCCCTCGCAACAAAGACAGCGCAATGAACATATGATGAAACTCAAAATAGTGCTACCTCCCGATCTCACCACTGGTGAGAAGTTACATCACCGATTACCCAGCTCTTTTGGTTGCTCAGTACTCCCCTTACCCACACCTCTCCCCCCAGCACACACACACGAAATGCAGTGAGGCATTTTTTTTCCTTTAATTTTGATTAAAGGACTAAATTTTTCTTTTAGTTTCTGAGGTTTATGATCATCCTTGAGATAATGGAAAACAACCTGGAGTGATAAAATCATGGCTGAGCATTCTGGTTGGGGCTGCTGGTGGAACTGAGTTTTGTCCTGCTTATACCACTGGGAACAATTTCCAACCACGTGTCTACAGCTGCACAAAACAACACTGCACGAGGGAGCTGCCACTGAACTTTCAGATGGATTCTGAGGAATTCACCCAAAGGAGTGTTTGGCTAAACTTAAGATTCCCAGAGTTTATTTGTGGATGGGTTCTGCATGTGCCTTGGTATGAGAGAGAAAACAGAAATGTATGTGTACATAGCTGAAGACCCAGAAGGAGATGGGTTATGCTGACTGCAGTATCACGTCTTTGCAGAGTGCCAAGCACTATCGAAAATTCCAACAGTGAGAATGTGAAGGAAGGGAAGAATGCTTTTCATTTAATTTTCGTACAAAACTCTTCTGGACTGCACAGTAAACATTTCCAGAGGGACCACTTCTGCACTGTTTCTTTAATACAAATTTCTTCTATCTGGATTCTAAATTAAAAAACAAAACCTAATAAGAAGGTAATTACCCTTTAGGGTCTCTCTCCACACCCATCTCACTTCTATAACCTTTGGTGATTCTAAAGTTTTGCTTACTTGTTTGAAGGTTAGGACTTTTTTGAGGAAAAATTCAATAAAGACTACTATATTCTAGCACTTTACTAATCAGAAATAAATCAGCTGCTTCATAAATCTATCAGGAGATCTTTGTGAAAAACATAGGCAAATGTAAGCTGAACAGTAAGGATTCATTTAGAGACGGACAGCTGCTGAAGCAACCTGACCCCAAAATTACTGGATAATCATCAACATTTGATACCAACTCAGAGTTGCATTTCTAGTGACATATCACAGGGTTCATTAATAAGCCTTGTCCTGTTTAATATTTTATTAATGACTTGGATGAAGACAGAAAGACATTTATCTATTTGGTGGAGAATACGCATTTTTTTCTGACTTGACAATGCTCACACTCAAGACCCACTCTCAGCAGAATCAGTGGCTCATTACTCACTACTGTTGCAGGCTGCTCGAAGGCCAACTCTTTCCCACACACATGCACCCACACCCACACGTCTCCCAACCATTGAGAATCACTGACAATAAGCTTCCTTGCTAAACTAACAAGACATTTAACACAGGAAATATATAGACAATCATTTATTCAGGGCCCACTGTGTGCTAGGTGACTTATATACATTACCTTTAATCCATGTAATAACCCACTTTTCAGAGGTGAAAACAGAGGCTGAGAGAGTCACCCAGAGGCAGATTTGAACACGCCTATCTGACTTCAGTGTCCATGTTCTTTCTACTATACCATACTGTCTCCTTAATTGTGCTTATTTGTGGATCAGTTTTTGAGAAGGATATTGATTGACAAGGTACAGCGTTCCAGATTATGCCACCGGTGATGTACCTGAAGTTGAGTTAAGAATGGTTGCAGGCAAAGGAGAGAGCAGCAACTTTTGATTTCCTACAAAGGAGGGGCTGGGTGCTGCAGTCAAGCTAGGGGCATGCAATGGGCAGAGAGCTAGAAAACCCATCTCAAGGCTGTGTTCACAGAGCAAGCATGATCCTTACTTAGGAATATTTGTTTAGCTTCGAGTAGCTTGGGAGAGGAGGCTGAAGGAGATGATGACAAAGCTCTGCCATGTCACTCCCAGGCGCCCCCAATGTCCCACCACTCATGAAGTGAATAGCACTAAGAGAAGACATGATCACTATCTCCAAATATGAAGAAGGAAATCAGATTCATTAGAATTAGGATTAGAAGTTAGAAGTTAGAAATAGTACTAGTGGCTGGAAATTACTACAAGGATGTAGGACAACAAGATATGTCCTAATTCATAGGCCTAAGTTGCTGGAAAAGTTTGAGGCTTCAACTTTAAGCAGAAGTCAGAGAGGTCACCTGGCTCCCCCATCATGATTCTGCGATTATGTAAGGCCTGCTCCATGGTGGAGAGTGACAGTGGCAGAGGGGATGGAGGGACAAGAATACAAGAGAAGCTTTAAGAAGTTTAACAGTCTGGGTTGGGAGACAGACTGATACACTTGAATTATTGAGTGAATAATACAGCATCTGGAGAATTCTTAGACACAGACAATCAAAGTGTGGGAGTTCAGACAAAAGAATAGTGAGCGGGGGCTGGAGGGGTCAGGAAAAGCTGCATCCACAAGAGGAAACTTGAGTGAGACCTTGAAAAAAGTATCATTTTAGCAAAGAAAAGAAAAGCATCATGTTTTCTGTTGGTGTCCTTCAGTGTCAGGGAGATGCAAAAAGCACTCCTTTTTACAAAAGGAGTTCAGGATGAAAGGGAAAAACTTCAAATTCAACAAATACAACTTCTGCTGCCTGAAAATCACCTCTTGCTTTTCCTGAGCTCTTATCACCATCGATTTCTTTATGCAGCTAGTATTTGCTAGGGACTTAGGACACGCCCCACAATTGTAATCTATGTGACCTCATTGAGCCCTACTGCAAGCACCTTGCCAGGTGGTATTATCATGCTTATCTTCAGACAAGGAGCCCAAAGCTTAGAGAGATTAAACGATTGTTCTAGTGCCACCCAGTCAGAATGGCAGAACTAGAACACAAAGCCAAGCCCACCGACATCAAATCCCTTGATCTTTCTGTTACACAGATTGCACTATGCTGACCCTTTCATGGTTATCATCTTTATCATTTATATGGCCTCCTGAAAATAAGCATTTTGCTCAAGTGAAGCAAGAATTTTTCCTGCATGTTAGTTGATACCAAACATAGGCCAGTCTCTTTTCCACGACGGCAGAAGGTGGAAGGAGCTGTTGGAATGCAACAGGAGATAGGCTGTGGCATATAAAAAGATGTGTGCCTGATAGAAAATCAGACTGAGTTTCCTGCCCAACCTTCATGATTCATAGAATTGGAGAACTGGATGGAACATCAGTGCCCACACTACACACAAGGAGACTGATGCTCAGTGGACCTTTACAATTGCCTGGCCTTTGGTGACACTGTGAGGGATGCCGGCACTTGGACCAGAACTCAGGGGTCCTGTTTCATATCCTGAAACATGTGAATCTATCTTTCCAGCATCAAATTTATGTGTCCGCTTGTTTAGTAGAGTTTTAAGTATAGCTGTGATCCTCTGGTCACTAAATCGGTTCTTCTTAAATTCAGCTACACATTAGACTCACTCGGGGAATTTCTAAAGGTCCCAAAACCCAGGTGATCCAGAATCTCTAGGGAAGAGGCCAAGGCATCGCTATTTTTTAAACTGCCCTGGTGATCCCAATGTGCCACCAAGGCTGTCACTTTACTCCTTTGTTTATACAGGAAATACATTTCAATCCACAGATACACTAAGAATGTATAATACTGCCTCCAGAATAATCTTTTTTTTTCCTGAGGAAGATTCACCCTGAGCTAATACCTGTTGCCAATCTTCCTCTTTTTTTGCTTGAGGAAGATCGGCCCTGAGCTAATATCTGTGCCAGTCTTCCTCTATTTTGTACGTGGGTCTCCACCACAGCATGGCTGAGGAGTGGTGTAAGTCCACACCCGGGATCCGAACCTGCGAACCTGGGCCACCAAAGCGGAGCATGCCAAACTTAACCACTACGCCACAGGGCTGACTCCTAGAATAATCTTTTCAAGTCATATAACTGATCACATAACTCATCATTGCTCCCTGCAGGGCTGGGACTAGGGTGAGGTAAGGGAGGTGCCTAGGGCACAAAATTTAAAGAGGAGCCCTCAGTCTAGTCACATTTGTTCCCAAACATGAGTCTTTCCTTAGCTAAGAGGATAAACTATGAAGGCAGATGGATGTGATTTGGATACTGGCCATGCCACTTGGGATCTCTAACTGTGGCTGAGTTAGCCAAGCTTTCTATGCCTGTTTTCTCCCTTATAAACTCGATAGGGTTGTAAGAATCAAATGAAGTCACTATTTAGCACAGTCATGAGTGGCAACATCCTTGCCGGGCTGGCACCTTCCTATCCTTCAAGGACGAGCACATCTTCTCTTCTCTGCTAATTTTCCTCTCCCCCGTCAAGTCAATTGCCCTCTCATCTGTATTGTGTGGCACTTTAACAGCCTTCTGAAATTCTCCCACTGGATTGTAGCTATTTATTCCAGCGTCTGTCTTCCCTGCCATGAGGTGATCTGGTCAAAGGGAACAGAAAAGGCTCTGGAGTTAGTTAGACCAGGGCTTGAATCCCAGCGGAATGATCTTGAACATTCTCTTTGAACCACAGTTTTCTTATTGTAAAATGATGAAAATAATACTAAGCTCCGAGAGCTCTTCCATTCTGGTACACAGCAGCTGGGAAAGAAATTTCAGTTTCTTTCCCTGACCCACTAAACTGTCTATTCTAAGAGCCACCCCCATTCTAGCTGTGACCTGAGGTCAGGAACTTCATTCAGTGTGACAACCTTCGGTGCCTTGTCCCAAGTCCAGCACATAGTAGGGACTCAGTAAATGCTTGTCATGCTGAAATAAACTGCAAGATGACCAGTATTTACACACGCAGAGAAGATGAGAAGTGAGTTTGCAAATTGCAGAAACAACTTGCCAAGAAGGCAAAGAGGAAAGAATGAGTACAGGCTTTGCTGGGAGCGGTGAGGAGACCACAGTAAATGGAACAGAAAATATACACTGGGAAACACTGCAGGAGGAGAGAATGGAGGACAAGCAGCACAGCCGTTGTGAAAGGGCCTTGGTATCGGGAGAGAGAGTGTGGACATTCTTAGGCAGGTGTTGCAGGTTTGCGTCTCTAAAGCTTTGATGATGTTCCTTCACCTTTCCATTGAGCAGATAGGTGGCAGGCTGCATTATGTTCATCAAAACTCCCACTGGACTCCAGCTGAATTTATATCTCAAAGGATTGCCTGAATGTTCAGGGGCTGGAAGCCCACCACAATAGGAAACATAAGATTCAATCTGAAATTAAAGAATCAATAAATTAGGGAGAATTAACAATAAGTTAGGGAAAATAATGTATCCAAGTTACTAATCAAGTACAATGACACAAATGAAGTAAACTTGCTACAGTTTTTCTTTTCTTAAATTTACTAAGGCTTTCAAAAGTACATCCTTAATGCCAAATATGCCCTTGATTAAGTCACAGTTATATTTGATACATATGCATTTTTAAAAAACCCTCTAGAGATTGTGACTAACATTTTATTCAGTTAAAAATCCATTGGATTATATACTACAATATATAATTATAATTAATTAGTGCTAATTAATTAATATATAATTATAATTATTTTAGTCTATATTTGATTATACATATTACACATATATAACCTAAAACATTTAATTTGATTCATCACATTTTCATATCCAATATTTCCTTCTCATATGTAAAAGATACTTCATTGCTAACAGATTAATGATATTCCAAAGAATTTTTCCCACTTTTAAAAGTCAAACCTTATCTCCAAGGCAGTCTAAAATCTTTTATTAAACCAAAATGTTATGGTAGCATCTATTTCTCTAAAAGTTTATTGCTAAGACTTGGATATTGTTTTACCATGCAAATATTTCCACAGTTACAAAATTTTACTTGAAATTTCTGGCCAAAGTATGAGTTAGAATATAGCAGCTTCTTTAATCAAAATTACAGAAAGATTATTTCTGTACACAAAAATCTGGACCTTTTTAATATTTTCCTAAATAGACCTTTGGACATAAATTGGGCTCACCGTGGCTCCCGCTTCTTTGGCCTTATCTATTGTTTCCATCGCCAACATATGATCAAGACCGGGGTCCAATCCCAATTCGCCAATGACTGTGATGCCAGCATCTTCCACACTACAACAGGTGGAAAGAGGAGAAAGGAAAAGCTGGATATAAAATAAAAATAATGCCACGGTGCTACTTTGTTGAAAATGACTGAAACTTACCTCTTTTCTAACTCTTTTAGCGCTGGTGTTATGTAGCTTGCAGTGATCATGTTAACTTTGTTTGTGATACATGCCTTGGCCACAACAGGATGCAAGACATAAGGCAACAAGCTTAAAAACAGGGGGAGAAACTAATCAGAGACTTTCTTTTCCAACCCTACTTTCCAACGTACCTTGAATTACACGAAAGCTCCGTTCTAAGGCATCAGTCTGATTATATTCTCTCAGAGACGACCAATGACTTTTTGGGGACTATAGGATAAATTCATCCAGTTATCACACTTAAAACTCTCCACGATATGACCTTCACCCAACTTTTCTATTTTTCTCCCTCAATTTCCTTCATAAATCATATATGGGAACCAAAGATAAAGTTATTATTCTTTTTACCTCTATATCTCCCAAATGGCTGTCAGGAGGGGGTTAAACTAAGTCAAGGTGGTTCATGTATTACATTAGAGAGTAGAGTTTAGGAAGGGCCAGGGGAGGAGACAGGCTTTAATGGTATTGATTGGTGTAAAGGCTATCAAAATGGCTAAAGTCTATACGGTGAGCAAAAATTTAAGCTGTATTCAAAATTCAACTTTGATTGGGTTTTCTAAAAATCTGGCTTGGTGTTTTAATTTGGTGCTAGGACTACATAATCACAAAAAATGAATTTCTATAAATGCTGATATAAATGAGCATATTTATATCCTATCCAAGAAATCATAAAACTTCCTGTCAATTGCATAACAATATTTAACTTCTACAAGTGTACTGCCTATTTGGTAAAGCAATCTATAGAGTACCAATGAAAATATAAATACAAACTTATAAACATTATCATACTATATCACCGTACTTGTCAAATTCATCCTGCATACTTCACATTTTCTCTATTTCACATAAAACAAAACAATAAAACCGCCTCTCAGGCACTTAATCCTCTTCAGGTCAATAGAATAGCCTACTGCTACTTAGCATTATTATCATCTGGCATAATATTGTGTACACATTTTTTCTAGTATCAATAGGAAAGCTCTTGATTTCTGTTTTTTGGCTTTTTTAATAAAAATGAACTGCTACTAAATATGGTAGCCCTTTAAAGGCTTTTAAAAACAAAATACAGTCAAAACTCTTTGTTGGAAAAATACTAATAGAAAATGTGCAATGACATCATCTTAAAGGGTAAGTGAGGATTTTTTGTCACATTCTCCACATCGAAAACTTGCCTGATAAAAGTTTTCTCAAGATCTAATAATATTTTTAAACTTTAGCATTATCTGCACTAACCTAGTAATATGCTGAGAACTAGAAGGGTAGGACTTTGATTGATGGTGCCTTCTTTAGACAAAGGGGTTAGAGTTCACAATTCACTGTGTATGTGATACAGTAACTACTCAGAGGACATAACTCTTAAATTATTTAAGTTGACTCCAACCCAATTAGTCCAAATAATTGGAAACACCACCTGTGAAAACATACACAAAATACAAATGGAATTTTCAAAGTAACTTATCAAAGTAACTACTTTGCATTAAATCATTAAAAACTAAAATTGAAAAATAAAAACATATTAAATGACATATTATAAAATTTTTTGTGAAACATATCTTTTACTCATTTTATTTTGGTAGTCCCTGTCACTGTGCTTACATCAAAACATTCTTTCTCCAACTTAAAAAATAAAAAATTATTTAAGAAACAGTACAGGATAACGTTTAACAGCATTTCTACTATTCGGCAACAAAATTCATCCAACTGAGAAAAATTAAATATAAAACAGATTTTGCTAATGCTAAACCTTATTGAAGGCCATCAGTTTGCTAAATTTTAAAATTTGAACATACAAATAGATTATTGTCTTTGTCCATTATCTTGTCATATTGTGCTTCAAATTTAGTTCCAAAGGTGTTGTATAATGTCATTTTCCCTTTTTTTAATCAAAAAACAATGTTATATTTAGGTAGCTATATGTGGCAGAACAGATTCTCTTTGTTTTATTCAGAAGGCTAGAACGTTCAATTTTTAATCAGGACTTATTTTCATAATCATATCACTGACAGACAAGATCTATTGGTCATTAGTAAATTTTTGATGAACAAAAAATTAATGTACACTAAATTTGTACAAATTGAATAACATTTTAAGAGCCCAAAGTGAGCCTATATTTAAATATATCAAGAGATAACATAAAAGTTCTCACTTAGAATTATCTTTCATTTTATCTATTTTCCACACCTGTTTTTTCTTTTTAAAGTAGGATATCACAGAACTTCCTCCAAAAATATCATTTGAATCTGATCTAACTATGAAAATGATCCAACTATGAATGAGCAGGTAACCTTCTTCCTTCTATCTTGGAAAAATTATATTCTAAGAATAAATGACTATTCTTATCATTTTGGTATTTCAAAACCAAGTTTAATTATGGAGTGAACCTCATGTAGCTCTCCATCTAGAAATTAGATCTGCATATTTATTAGATAGTAATAAACACTATATTTCAAGATCTGTTCCTATGATAAGACTTAAAATGGTCATAAAGCTAGAGAATCTACTCATTTTCATTTAAGTTGTATAAGTGCAAAGGATAAAATAGCCACCAAAATGTATGAAACATGAATACCTCATGACCCAGCAATTTTAATCCTAGGTAGATACTCAACAGAAATGTGTACATACAGCAACCAAAAGACAAATACTAAAATGTTCATAGCAGCATGATTTATAACAGCCAAATTCCAGAAACAGCCTAAACATCCAACAGTCAAATGGATAATAATGATAGACTCATACAATGGAATATTACACATCAATGAGAATGAATAAACTGCAATTACAGACAACACAAACGGCTCTCATAATCACAATGCTGAATGAAGGAAGACAGCCACAAATGAGGACATACATATGGAATAATTCCAGATGTACACAGTTGAAAGCAAGCAAAAACTAATCTATTTGTTAGAAGCCAGGACAGTATCTGCTCTTGGGGGTGGGGCTAGAAATGGAAAGGGGCACAAGGAGGGCTTCTGGGGTACTATTACATTCTGTTTCTGGACGTGGATGATAGTTACACGGTGTGTTCACTTTGTAAAAATTCATTGAGCTATACACTTACGATTTATGCACATTTCTGGATGCACTCTTCAATTAAAAAGTTTACTTAAAGAGAGAAGAGAAGAAAAGAGAAGAGAAGAGGAGAAAGAGGACATAAGGAAAGAGAAATAACAACAACAACAAGAAAGTATATGGCAATCATTTCTTGCTAGATACTAACCTGATGACAAGATCCTGTGTTGCCACCAAGAAGCCCAACTTCTCTTCTTGTTTACCAATGTCCATGCAAACAGGATTAATTTTATATTTCTTGCCTAATTCTTCCATTTGACTCTTCATGTCAGAGCCTATTTCAAGAATAAAAAAGTCCGATTTTTAGATTTCCTTCCACTAGTCAGAGAGTAAAATTCATTTTAATATCTCCAAAAATTATTTTTCGAAGTTTGAAAACAAAATAGTCATCTAAAATTCACAGAGTAAATGTGGTTTAAAATCAGTTTTTCCTCTTCTTCTTCTTTAAAAATTAGGGTTTGCTTACCTACTGTTATTTCTATATTGTCATCTCTTGACAGGTACTCCAATACAGGCTCAGATATGTAACCAGTTCCAAGAACCAAGACCTTTTTCTTGGTGCCTGAGAGTGACTTAGCACGTTCCCTATAAATAAAAAGTGGAGAGGGGAGAAAAATTTAACAAAAATATTTTAAATAATAAAATCTTGTCCCCAAATCAAACTAAAACTTAGACTATGAGACAATAATTTTTCCCACATTTCTTACAATAAGAACCTCAACAGGAGTGTCCTATACTAATATTTTTCAATAATTATTTTAGATTTTGTATGATGAACAACAGACCCTGACGTCGCTGAGGTATATGTCCACAGACTTTCATGAATTCCCAATACCACCAGCGAGGTGCAGATGCCGCGCCACTGCCTGGCTTACCCACGATCGAGTAACTTGGTCTCACACTTTATCCTTCCAGGGGACGTGATTCAAAATCATGCTAGGGGCTTTACGTCAAATACTTTAGTCACTCCTCACAACAATCCAAGACAACAATCTGAGGAGGATATTATTATTACCCATATCAAACACTGTTGTGTCATTTATCTTTAGGATCACTTGACAATAGTTAAAACCATGATTTTGAAATCACAAATGGCATGGGTTAAAGGTAGAAACCTAAGACAAGTTATTAGGCAGGATTTTAATTCTCAAACAGTTTATTCTGTTGGAATTTGTGTCTTCCTGACAGATAATTCTTTGCCTTTCCTACAAACTATGACTTCCAAGACAAGGACTAGGTCTCATCCATCTTTATAAACTCGTTAATGCTCAGAACATTTTATCTTAAATATGGAAGATACTCATTAAAAGTCTTTTGAGTCAAATTCCTAGATATCAAGGGAAAACCATGGAAATGTTCTGGTGCCAGGAACTTATGCAGCAGGCTCTGTCTTGGAATCTTTTAGGCCAAGATGTCTCTCAAACTTTAACCTTTTCATTAATTATAAGCGAATAAAAATAAATATAGGGGGGTTGGAGTGTAGGCAAAATGGTACAAACTTCTAGTTATAAAATAAATAAGTCATGGGGATGTAAAGTACAGCTAATAATAATACTGTATTGCATATTTGCAAGTTTCTAAGAGAGTAAATAAAAGTTCTCATCACAAGAAAAAAAATTGTAACTGTGTATGGTGACAGATGTTTACTAGGCTTATTGTGGTGACCATTTCACAATATATACAAACAGGACATCATTATCTTGTACACCTGAAACTAACATAACATTATATGTCAATTATACCTCACTAAAAAAAGTTTTGATAATAAATAAATAAACATAAATATAAAATGGCCCTGCTCCCCTTTACCCCCAACACACTCACATTACTGAGGAGGTGAGGTCTCCTTTAACTACCACTCCCATCTCATTTCACCTCCCAGAAAGAACAGCTATTATTTAGTTATTGTATATCCTTTCTAACAACACTTTCTACAGTATGTGTAATTAAAAAATATTATTTTGATGTCCAAATATAAAATGTTCAAAATACATTTTTCAAAACTTGCTCCTAGATTCTCATACTATCCATCTCATCAGCAACCCCAAACCCCACACTCCAGGTCAGTCATAACTGTGCTAAGTGATGGAGAGAACATAAGAATAAGGCAGGGTTCAAGATAAATTAAATTTCCTTTCAAAATGCCGTCTTCACTCTCAGTGTCTTGGCACAAGATTCCGCCCGGGAAGGAGGGCAGAAAGTCCTAGCAATGGGAGCCAAGTAGACATGCTGCTACATGAAATACAGCATGTAAGGGTGAGATATCATCGTGACTGGTCACATTAGACACGTCATTAGGATTAGTTATACAAGGGATCATCAGATGGTGAGAATCAAAAAATACAGAGAGCTATGAAAAATAAACACCCACGAAGTTTCCCCTACAAGTAACTCTCCGATGAGGTTACCGAGCTAGCTGCTTTTTAAAAAAACAAATTATACACTCTTGGTATCTTATGCCAGAATATTTCATTGACACATAAAAAGTAACTATAAGCAAACTAACACATACGGAAAAAGCATAACAGTCTAAGTATATCTGGCCAGATCTCTTATCCACTTCTTGTAGGTAGAACAACTGAGAAAGAAGATACGGCAGTTTGTGGGATTGTTTTTAATTTTCCCACTCTGGCTTCTCCTGAGAATTCAGTGCCTGAGTTATTTTGTTAAATGTGAATAGATCAGTGGAGGAGACATAAACACAGATCAAGGGCAATCAGCTGAAGGGGACCAGAACATTCCAAATAAATGTCCATGTTTTCAAACTTTGAGTAGTAAAATCAATGGAGGCAACCAAGGCCTTAGCTAAGTTCCTTTCTACGAGAACTGCTCTCTTGGGTAGATTGGCCACACTACTTTTTGGCACCTTCCTCCTAGTAAGAATCCCCAGAGAAAACTGACCTCTCACCCTTTTCTTTCTTCACTACTTTCCTTAACTTCTAACCAAGAGCCCACTTTCCTAAACACTACACTAAACCAAACAGAGTCCAATAAAAAGCAGACTGAAAGCACCAAAGAAAGCATTCATGGGCTCATTTTCCTTTGAGAAAATCACTGAGGCGTGACAATATGCAAAATGCTAGAGGAAGAACAAGGGGCTCTCCAGAGGACATCCCTTTTGGACTTTTGCTTGTTATACACAAGTCTACATAGGACATTATTAAGCCAAAATGATGCTACAATACCATTCAGGGAAGAATCGTCACATTGGTTTCAGCCAGTCACTTAGTTTGGATCTCCTACACTTAACAGACATTTTCAAAATTTACATATTGTATAAACCTAGTATCATGAACTCACACAGAAGCATTAAAAAATACTCATGAGATCCAAGATAAAAATAAATGCATAAAACAAGAGGATTTGAACAATGCTTACCTGCTCTCTCGGAGTTTCTGGATATATTTATACTTATCAGGCAATGTACCATTGGATGTAATCACTGCCTAAATGTATATGACATAAGACATCTCTTTAGTATCCACATTTTAGTCCCACAAACATAGGCTCGTGACTGATAGAGACAGAGTGAGAGAGATGGAGAGAGAGAAAAAGGGGAAGAGAGAGAGGAGAGAGAGGATGGTGGTGGAAAAAATACACTCATGGAAAGAAATTCTTTTCATAACTTACATCTCTCACCACAGGAGAAAAATTCTGACTTTCAAGAGGCTGTGTCGCATCTGATAATATCTGAAAGGAAAATAAGACTGGTAAGAAATAAATGACATTGCAAAGAAGGCTTCTTCATGTTTGTATCTATACCGAAATAGTCAAAGGAAAAAAATAATTTAGAAAACAGTTTTCTGAAGATCACTGAATAGAAATAATTGGTAATAGAAGTCTTCTACAAGCAACGAATTTTGCCCCCAAGAACATGGTATTTCAGCACAATTTCCAATTTTTTTTTTTTTTGGTGAGGAAGATTGGCCCTGAGCTAACATCCATTGCCAATCTTCCTCTTTTTGCTGAAGAAGATCAGCCCTGAGCTAACATCTGTGGCCTTCTTCCTCTATTTTGTATGTGGAATTCCGCCACAGCATGGCTTGATGAGTGGTGCATAGGTCCGCACACGAGATCTGAACCTGCAAACCCCAGGGCGCTGAAGCAGAGCGTGCAAACTTAACCACTATGCCACCAGGCCACCCCCAACGATTTCCAATTTTAAAACTAAAATGTGATTACAATCATCTTGGCTTGTTGGAAACACAAAAAAGCTTATCCTTGCCCATCAGTGAGATGTGTCATTTTGAGCATGCTGGCAAATATCACCACAAGCTTTATAGACATATTCCTCCCTCTGAGGGTGTCTATCCCATTGCAAAGGTTCAGGTTGTTCTATTAGAAGTAGACAATGGGTCTTCCAAACAGCAGGGCCACCAACCCTGCAATTGGGAGTCTCCCTCAGGTCAATATTAGTTCTCTATATAGGCACATTAGCATTTCAAAAGCGGCAGGGAATATGACTTGACCAAGTAGACCTCAAAAAGTCATCCACATTCTTCCCGCTATCTCTCAAGAATAAGTCAGGCGGCCAACCACAAAAGCCACAACTCCCATATTAACATCCCAGTATCCTTCTAGTCCTCTTGTTTTCTTCCAAGGTATCCAACTCTTGAATAGACTGCCAAGGGATAAAGGTCATGTGAGTCAGTATGGTTGCTTCTGTTGGTCAAGGAGTTATGGCCAATGAGACAATCATTCCTCCCTAATCATAGGTTAAGGCCCAGGGCACTCACCCAACTAAGAAAGAGCAAAATGTACCTAGCAGACTCTGGCAGGAGAGTATTTATTTACTGTATTAAATAAATATAAAACTACTTTTGTGTATCTAAAACACAAGACATCTAGACTATCTATTCCTGGGACGGGGCATTTAAAAAAAAAAAAAGGTGGGGCCGGCCTGGTGGCGCAAGCAGTTAAGTGCGTGCGCTCCGCTGCAGCGGCCTGGGGTTCGCCGGTTCGGATCCCGGGCGCGCACCAATGCACCGTTTGTCAGGCCATGCTGTGGCGGCGTCCCATATAAAATGGAGGAAGATGGGCACGGATGTAGCCCAGGGCCAGTCTTCCTCAGCAAAAAGAGGAGGATTGGCAGATGTTAGCTCAGGGCCGATCTTCCTCACAAAAAAAAAAAAAAATGGTAAGTATACCTATAAGACAGGACATTCTTTGGGAAGCTCATGGAACTGACACATCTCCCACTGCTTCTTTCTCCCAGGCACCTTTGGAGTGCCTCAATCAAACTCCTCCACCTCCCACCTGTCTACAGGCGAGGAGCCACAGGTAGATAATAAAACGAGGTTCAAATTTCCCTCAGCATACAGTTAAACCACCGAACTCGTGTGTCTTCTCACTCTCTCAGCTCTTTATCTCTAATTCTACGGCTCTATTTAGGCCTTACCAGAACCATGGGAACTACCTCCTACCTCCCTTCCTTCCATTTATCTCCAATCTAAAACACAAATCTGATTATTTCTCCTGTGCCTATTTAACATAATTCAGTAGCTTTCCGTTGCCTTTTTGAGAAGTCTCTAGCTCCCTATGTGGCCTACAAGGGCTCTACAGTCTGGTTCTGCCTCTCCAACCTTGACACACCTTTTTGCCTCATACCCAACACTTTAGTCCTGTTAACAGCTTAGAACTGCTTACCTGCATCATGCTTTCACATGCCTCTGTGCTACCCCATGTAGATGCCTTGCATGCTATTCCTCTACCTAGAACTCTCTTTCCTCCAAGAAGCAGCTGAAGAATTACCTCCTCTGTGGAACCTTTACCAAAATCTGCCCCCCAGCACACCTTGAAAGCAGGAACTGCACTTGGCATCTCACCACACGCCTGCTACATTATAAAATGGTAAATATTCAATAAATATATTAGTGGATACTTGATATGATTACTTAAAATTAAATGGTTCCATTTAATTTGAAAATCTTCTTAAAAAAGAAATCTTTCTTTTTCCTAATAAAACTGAATAATTGTCATGAGTCCACCTAAAGAAAGGCAAACATAAAAGAAACGAAAAGCTGCTCAATCACTGCATTTAGCTAACAGAGCTTGCTAGAATTCAACTGTTACAACACTTTAAGCACAAGAGTCCTGAAGCATATGGTATGTCTTGTCAGTTTCACATATAACATATTGAGACCTCATCACCCCTTCCTAGATTAATTTAAGCTATTTATCCTGCTGTTAAGACCCTTTCCAATACAGAACCAATATACTTACCTTTACTCCATCAGACTTGACAACTCACAGAAACCCTATGTTAGGTTAATTCCCACCTGTGCTCTACTGTCTCCATCACATAGCATGCCTCCCACTCCCACACAAATGAACAAATCTTATACATCTGTCAAGAGGAGCTCAAATGCCACCTCTTTCATAAAACCTTTCTCAGTCGTACCCAACAGAACACAACCTCTCCCTCCACAACTTCATTAACATCTTTCTGATGGCTGTCACATTCCACCTTATGGGAGGGTTGCACACTTGTCTCGTTCCCATTCTGGACCTCATGCTTCTATAGGTAGAAGCTGTGTTTAAATTCTCTTCATCCACAGCTGTGCCCTGTTCCAATAGACATTCAAGAAATATCTATTGAATTCAAATGAAACAAAACTTCCATATTGGTTCATAATGATAGCCTGTGCCCTGCAAGCTACAGGGTCTGTATGGACCTTAAGTTAGAAAGGAAAATCTAGGGAAGAAAGGACCATGCATATAGTCCGAATACAATTCCCATACAGTTATCAGAAGAGAACATAGACAATATACTTAACTTTGGGGGGTAAGCAGATAGACATACATCAAGACTATGAAAGAGAGACAGTCATCAATTTTCACAAATGTCCAGCGCTTAAAGATAGTGCTGAGATAGATGCCCCCAAGACAATCCTATCTTACTGTTTGGTGAACTCTAGTCATGTAGAAAAGGAAGAAGGTATGAACAGTTTAGAGAAGCTGGCTTAGTCATCAGACATCTAAGCAATACCACCTGTGTCAATACTTGGACGAACTAACCAGCGCAGTAGTTGAGGTTCCTGCTCCTGTGGCCAAAATTGCCCTGAGGACGGGCCATGTGGTGCGAGGAGGTAAAAATGTGCAGCAAGTTTACTGACTTGCTGATCTAAGGAAACAGGAATTCAGAGCAACCAGAGCCTCCAGAGCGTGAGGGGGAAATGCCAGAGAGGACAGATTCAGGAAAAGCGAAGCCCAACTTCCGTGTAAACTCTGTTCCAAGTCTCTGGATGACCCCCCACCCGAGCACATGCACGTCAGACTACACACAGCCCATGTAAAGATGAAAGAACTGAACTTTTATTTGAGTTATGCCCCACCTCAGGGGGGACAGAGTTTTCAGTTTAAGTCCAGCCAAGCTAACTGTCTGCTAAAACAAAAAATCAACACTTTTCAGAGAAATCTAACAGTCCAGAATCTCCACAGCATAACTACTGCATTCACATCATCCAAGACACAATCCAAATTATTCAACCTAAGAAATCAGAAAATTATGAACTCACCCATTCTTAAGGGAAAACAAAATCAATAAATTTCAACTCCAAGTTGACCCAGAACTTTAGAAATATGAGGCAAAGACTGTAAAGTGGCTTTTATAACTATGCGCCATGTGATAAAGAAAAATACACTCATAATAAATGAAACGATAGAAATTCCCAACAAAGAAAGAGAAAAAAAAAGAACCAAATAGAAATTTTAGCACCAAAAAGAGAATATCTGAAATAAAAAATTCACTTAAAGGGCTGAAGGAATTTACTCGGTCTGCAGGGAAATAATGCCAGAGGGAAATGAAGGAACATCATCAAAAACGTAATAATAAATTTACTATTACGTTTTTTATATACACATGTCTTTCAGCCACTTAGACATTTACAATTACAGAATGTTAGAACTGGAGGGACCATTAAGATTATATACTAAAATCATCTTATTTTCAGGTGAAACATCTGAAAATAAGGAATGAGTGGCCTGCTCAAGGCTGGAAAGCAGGCCGATGTCTCCAGTAAGACCTGACGTTTGTATTCTCCTTCTCATGCTACTGTAATCCCACAGCACCCATTCCAGACCCACTGCAGATCCAGCACTGAATAAGCAACCCTTCTGGGCCTTAACTTCTCTATGCCTCAGTTTTCTAATCAGTAAAGTGGGCTAAAAATGACACCTACCTGACAGGGTTTTCAAGAGCATTTGAAAATTAAAATACAGAAGAGTAATTCGAACACTGTCTGGCACATGGCAGGAGCAATATAATATTATGCCCAACCATGATAATGTCCACTGCCTGCATTTTCCAAACCCTGTTATGTCTTCCTGTGGACACATTCCAGGAGGAAAAATAAAAGGTCAAGATGGAATCCCTGTGAAAGAAAGGAAGATCACAGCCTGGAAGTTTCACTTATTCATGTGCCACTAACTACTGCCCCATTTGAGTGTGAGAGCTCCCGAATGAAATGGGGGAGGAAAAGGACAAGAGCCACTAGTCAGAGCTTTGGAATCACTGCCAGAGGCAGACACCATTCCCAACAGAAATGAAGCAGGATGGGCATGACTGCTCAGGACAAATACCAAAATAAGAAAGCTTATCTTTGGCAAAGAAAATGGGATTTGGATACCACAGTAGCATTTCAGCAATCACTGATTGCAGTAAGAAATACATGACCTCAACAAAAGCTGTCACTTAACCAAGCATTAGTGACTAAAATCCAATAAAATTTGGATTTTTCATATTTCTGATTTTTCAAATCTGTTAATCACAGCACAGTAAGAATGCTCCAATATGAACTGACCTAGGCAGCAGAAAGAATAGAATATAAAGCAAGTCTTATCTCCCATGTCATGAAAATTCTTAATAAAATGTGCATAATGAGAGACAAATGTAATTGTAGTTAAGCATGAAGGCAGTTATATAACCATACTCCCCATGAGACAAGTAAGCAGAATATGTAAAATCAGAGGGTCAGTAAGTATTTCAGGGAAGGGTTGGCATTTCATTTTACAACAGATTTCCTAGGTACAGAAGACCAGAACATTCATAAGATCACTCTGAAGGTCTCCTTAAAGCCACAGAGTTGTTGCAGATGCTACCAGTCTGCTTACCATTTCTTCAACATAAGGGTAAAGCATGTCTCCAAAGTATTCTGTGGCTTCAATCGGAAGCTCTGCCGGCAAATTGTCAATGGAACACATCAGAATCCCAGAGCCTTCAACACTAGGAGAAGCAATATGCTTTATTCAGATGTACAAAATGCTATTTGTAAGCTCTAGCTTTTCCAGATGTCTACTCCATTATATTTCCTTCATGACCATTTGTAATTTTGTACCAAAGTATATGAGAAAATAAACAAGACTTTTTTCAAACAAAACTTTTCCCTTCTTCAGCAACCCACTTCCCATTTAAATATAGTGTATGAGGATTTAAGTGTTCAAATTTGCTTATGGTTTTTCCATCAAGTTTTTTAATATGTTTGAGCATATCTCTGGAAATTTGCATAGCCTTCATAAAGATGTAAAATATTGAGTATTTTAACGCTAGTATAATAAAGGTAAGTAACTGATGTATTGTTAGGTATCTCTCACCATCTAACAGCTTTAGCAAACTCACCTGTCATGAATAATGTGCTGGTCTGCATCATACATACAAAAGGGATGCTCTATTGTTGTACACTCAGTCATAAACTCTATAGATCCTCCTGTGTCCGCTGAAATGTCACATATTGCCACAAGTCTGAAAACAACGTCAATACTTAGATGAGAGCATGGAATTCTGAAGTCTCCAACAAGATTAATAATAAATAAAAAGGAAAGGTGCTTGGAACAATTCTCAAGGTGGATGCCTAATATTTCCTAGGCTCTTAGCTCCTTTTGCTACAGCTCACTGTTCAGGACACCATGTTCTTTGGCGATACACAGAATCTTCCCACTATGAGTTTCAGTTTCCACAAGGAGCAGGAGAAGGAGAAGGAAGAGGAGGAGGGAAGAGGGGATGAGAGGGAGAAGAAGGAAAAAAAAATAAAAGTGGAAAATCTCTTCCCTAGAGAAATCATTAACAGCCTAAAGTTAACTACTTAGTCAACTCCCTCCACTCTGGTCAGTACTACATAATTTCACATGTTATTACATGGAAATCTCTAGAATTATGAAGAAAAGTCTCAGCCCAGCATTTTAAATCCTTTAGAGGTTGACCACAATTTTCCTGCCCCATCTTGAATTAGCACTGAGCTATATAAACCCTATGTTAGAGCTAGACTGCCCCACTCACTGTGTCTTAAATTCTGCTTTGGTGGCTCCATATTTATCAGGCACCGAACCTACCACTTGGAATTCTCGTTCTCCTCACTCCTCCCTCTTAGGGGTTTGCTGAACCCAAGCTCCCACTTTCTTCTGAACTCGTGTGATATTGATTGCCTCTAGCATTCCCTTAGCATTTACTTGATGTCAGCTATATGCCTGCGGGTAGCAACCATATCTCTTACTCTTCTCTGTCCTTTAGCTTAGCAGAGTGCCAAGCAGACTGGGTGTTCCACAAATATTAATTAATTAATTGAACATTTAATAATTATTTGAATGCATGTTACATGTCACACGATGTAGTGGGTACTTGTGGCCAAGATAAATAGGGTCCTTCTCCTTAAGAAGACCAAGTTCTAGTAGGAGGGAAAAAAATCACAAACACAGGAAAATAAATGATCAAAAATTTCAGAAAAAGAAACAGAGTAACAGACTAGAGAGAGATGGGAATGGGGAAGCAAGAGAAGACCTCACCGAGGAGATTACTTTTGAGCTGCATGTGGAGTCACAGAAGGTAAGCAACAGTTTCAAGAAGGAGGGAAGATTAACTGTCAAATGCTGCCAAGAGCTCAAGTAAGATCAGGCAGACAACTGGTCATTAACAGTCAAGTCCTGTGATATGTGGATTCTCCATGCGTGATACCCTTAGAGTGGGCCCAGCTGCTAACAACTGCCATCATTGCTGAAGTAAAGTCCTTACCTGTGAGGTAATGCAGGGCAGCCTTCAACACCAGGATCTGAGGACTTGCCTGGAGCCAGGAGACTCTGAGCATCTTGGCGGGTTAGTAGACGAGGGGTGTTTTGTTCCCAGTAGATTCCATTAATTAAACAAGTTGTATAGGGTGCAATCTGTAAAGCAACTTCCAAGTTCAACATGATAGGAAACAGCATATTTCAATGCAGTGTGCTGAGAGACAGCTATCAGTAAAGTCCATGAGAAACCATTTAATGTTACTTCCAATTGACTTTGTTATTTGTCAGGTCAGTGGCCATCTTTTGAGGCAAAGACAACAAATACCCACCCAGATTTCAGTGTAGAATTATCCCATAACAGAAAAAAATAAGAACATAAATATATTAATGTTTTTGTTCTACAATGTATTGCATAACCAAGAAAAAGGAAAGAAAAGAAAAAGGAATCAAGTGACCTAGCATGCTATTTCCAGCTCAAGCACCAGTGGAGTGTGACCTAAGTCATGCTACCTCAACTTCTCTGGGCTCTGTTTTCCTTACCTGCCAGATGGGGATAATACATACCCCATTCCTCAAAGGAATGCTGTGAAGATTAAATCAGATAACTCTGTAAGCTCCATGGATAAATGTGCTACATACATGCATACACGGTAACTAGGTCATTATAAGTTTTAGGATGCATCCAATCACCAACACTTCTGTGATTGGGGAAAAGAGAAGGGATGGAAATTTACTAGATTTAAAATTTTTCAGCCTGGAACTGTTTCGTAATTTTTGTTTCTCAAGCATTCTCAAGCTACAGGTGAGAGTCCTTCTCTCTGACATGCTCTATGTACTGTAACACTAAATTTCATACCAGAATCTAAAAATGCTTTGCTGTTCAAACATATGTAAACTTATTTAAAACATCCCTTTTCATAATAATTGCATTTTTTGTTTTGTTTATTTTTGTTGGTTTATTTTGAGGAGGACTGTTGCATAACCAATGACTAGAGAACACACAAACATATTCTTCTTGTAAGATGAAGCCAGTGTGCCCCCATCAGAAGGATTTTAATTTTAAGTAACTTTTTTGTCCAGTGGGGATGGCTCTGTGTTTATGTAGCCGTACTATTTCACCCTGTCCCCTGTAACCAAGGGCACACATTTTGGGACAGCCAGCTGAGGTAGTGATTGCAATTTGCGGCCGTAAAAGGAATGAACTTATGTTGAGACCAAACCTCATGAACACTGTGCTCTGCCAACAGTACTAACTAGTCCAGGATAAATAGAGAAAACACTAATCCACAGGAAACATTTTACAGCTACTCTGCACACGCAGACCCGAAGTAGAGACAGAGACAGTGGCAAAGGGCATACCCACAAAAACCACCCAAACCACTAAGCAAAGCCCACTCCAAACATCAGTAAAAGCCAACAATTCCTAAGGCCAACTCATGATACCCAAAGGACTCACAACAAGTCAATATGGGAACTGAAAACCAACGTCAACATTCATAACTTCTCTCATTGAAAACAACCTCACTATGGTATATCGAGAGCACCAACTCAAAAGCTGAATATGATACTCACATCAGTGCTAAAACGACTCATGTAGCGCTCAGGATACTTGTCATACTCTACAGGGTCGTATACACCATCTGTTTTCCTGACAAGATGATGATGGCGACTTAACACCGTCCCATACACTTTTCTCAGGTCTTGCAGGGGAGAAAGAAATTAGTAAAGTGGGTGACAAACGATAAAGATTTATGATGATACAATATTATAACACAGAAACTGTTAAAAACAGTAAAAGATACATACAGTCAGCCTCCCCCTCTTACCTCCAGTTTGGGAAACTTCTTTTAATTCATGTGGTTCCACATATTCACAAGGTAGTTCATTGAAGATATCTTGGGCTCCCTGTAACAACGAGTAAAAATCTAAAAGTCAATAGGAAAAAGAGCCAACATGGTTCCCTGCAAATAGTCCAATTCATTTTCCCCACAATTATGCAGATCCACTTGTCCTGTCCTGCTACCAGGACTGCACATGGAAGTATAGATTAGTTTTTTGCACAGAGCCTGCGAACCAGCTTTATTCCAGTTTGAATAGTACATATTGGGAGGGGCTTTCCTCTTTTAATGAAGTTACTCAGAGTAAAAACAAGAGTGTTTAGAAATGAGAGTACAATAAAATATTTCTATTTATTTTTTGACCCATTGCAGAAATTACTTCAAGTGGGGAAACGATACTTCCTACAAAAAAAAATTAGATACCTATCTCCCAGTATAATACAAGCAGTGATGTCCTGTTTGTAAAATATTTTCTTTGAGGAAAGATCTATTTTACAACTATAAGTTTCTCTGAGGGATCACAAATGCTTGCTTAAAACTACCCCAGAAGGAAGAAGGTATTCATTCCAGTCTTGAATTAAGCTTCCTAACATCTTTTTGGCAAAACTCCAAGTGGTCTTGAAAAATTTACATCCTTGGATCACTTTCAAACTTTCGGACATCTCAGTGATGGAAGTAAAACAGATTACCCTAATAACAGATCTTTACACCATTAACAATGAGTTACTAAAAGAAAAGAAAAAGCACCCAAAGCCTCTGATGACTTGGAATCAACTAGAAGAAAAGAAAATAAGTTTGGACCATTACTGCTCTTTACTATGGGAAAAGTAGATAGGTAAGAAAAGTTCCAAAAATAGAATGCCCATTCATGGAAAAGTAGGGCTCAGAATGCCCACATCCTTTGGGTTAGTTTCAGAGGTTCAGACTGCTTTACAGAAAGAAGACAGGGGGAATTTACCTTCGATACATTACCAGTCCCTGTGAACACAAATGTTAAGGGCCCTATGGACTTTGGCATCAAACCCAGAGATATTTCATAGCCAGCATCACGGACAGCTTGCACAGCCTGACTGCTGTTCCTGTAGTTATGAGCCATGCCAATGTGCTGAAATCAAGCACACAAGATTCAAATGAGTCTACCACCTGAGACATTTTTCTATTCTTAAAGTGTAATATGTATTTTAAAAAAACCAAAAACTAAATATCTCACCATAAAAGGTGTGTGATGTCCCAAAGCAAGGAGCCTTAACCCCATTCCATGTAAAATGTTGATCATCCCTATTGCAGAATCAGACCAATAGAAAGACCATTAGTTGGGAGGAGGTGAAGCTGTTCTCTCTGCCCATTCTCCAATCTACTCGGTGCTCTGAGGAAGCACAGCCCACAGCATCTCAGATTTGGAAGGGGCTCCAGTAGTCATCTTATCCATCCCCTCAACTTTCTGCCATCAAAAGCACTAACCCAGCTGCATTCCCATCTATCCCTTCCACTTTCAATCCTCCTAAAATGGAGAGGGTCCCTCTTCTTCTCTAAGGTTAATCTCTCCACCTTTGCTCAAGATCCCATTCCTTCCTGCCTCTCTAAAAAATTCACTTTTATTCCTTTCACCATCCACCTCTATTGATTCGTCTTTACCAACATTTAAACGTACTTCCGGGCTGGCCCCGTGGCTTAGCGGTTAAGTGCGCGCGCTCCGCTGCTGGCGCCCCGGGTTTGGATCCCGGGCGCGCACCAACACACTGCTTCTCCGGCCATGCTGAGGCCACGTCCCACATACAGCAACTAGAAGGATGTGCAACTATGACATACAACTTTCTACTGGGGCTTTGGGAGGAAAAAAGGAGGAAGATTGGCAATAGGTGTTAGCTCAGAGCCGGTCTTCCTCAGTAAAAAGAGGAGGATTAGCATGGATGTTAGCTCAGGGCTAATCTTCCTCACAAAAAAAAAAAAAAAAAAAAAAACATACTTCCATTCCTCCCATACCAAAAACAAATGAACAAACAAAAACAAAGTCATCATTGACTCTATGACTCCCATCAGAAATTTTAGTGACCTAAATAGCTGAACTCAGTGGACACTTTTCAGATCTTGACTTACCTGTCAGAGGAATTTTGGCAATGTAGAGACTCTCTTTGTCGGAACATTCTCTTCCCTCAGCATTTCTGACTTGAAAATTTTCATCCTACATTTCTGTAGGCACCTCTTCTCATGCCCATTCCTCTTATTTTAGTGTCCTCCGCCCTTTCCTTATATGTTAATCAGCCTCAGCATTCTGTCCTGGGCCCTATTCTCTTTAATCTCCACATTTTTTTCCTTAGTTAATCTCATCCAGTCCTAAATTTCAAGTACTCTCTGTATGCTGATGACCTCAAGTCTATATCTCTAATACACGTGTTTTATTTCAAGACCTAACCAACCACCTTATGGATTTCTCAATTTGGATGTCCTTCAAACAGCAAAAATTCAGCATGCCTGTAGCAAAGACCTCAGTATCCATTCTCGCCTTCTTTTTAGGAATAGAATTTTCCTTCTCCATAACCCTGCCAAATTTTCTTTGCTTTTTTTCCTGAAGTCAACTTTTAAAGGAATAATTTATGTACAATAAAATGCTCCAATTTAAAGTGTATAGTTTGATAACTGTTAACAAGTATACACACCCATATTATCACCAACATAATCAAGATACAGAATAATTCCATCACCCCAGTCAATCCTCCCCAACCTTCGGTCCCAGACAACTACTGATCTTATTTCTGTCTATATAGACTAATTTCTTCTACAGTTTCATATAAATGAAATTATAAGTATGTACCCTTTTTTGTATGTCTGCTTTCACTCAGTATGTTTTTGAGATTCACACAAACTTTGTGTGTATTAGTAGTTTGCTTCTTTTTATTGCTGAGAAGTTTTCCATTTTATGGATATGCCACAATTTATTTATCCATTCCTCTGCTGATGGACATTTGGATTGTTTCCAGGCTATTAGGAATGAAACTACTATAAATTAGTCTTTACAAGAAAATAATTCATTTCTCTTGATAAATTATGAGTGGAATTTATTTTGTACATTGATATTCAAGTTTCTTATTTCTTCTTGAGCTGGTTTCGGTAATTTGTGTCTTTCAAGGATTTGCTATTCATCAGCGTTGTCAAATTTATTTGCCTGTTGACAATATTCCCTTATCCTTTTAATGTCTGCAAAATATATAGTGATGACCCCTCTCATATTCCTAATATTGGTAAATAGTGGCTTCTCTTTTCTTAATCAGTCTAATTGGAGATTTATCAATTTTATTGATTTTTTTTAAAAGAACCAGTTTTTTATTTCATTGTTTTTCTCTATTGTTTTCCTGTTTGGATTTCATTGATTTTCTCTCATATTTATTTCCTTCCTTCTATTAGCTTGTTTTGAGTTTAATTTCTTCTTCATTTTCTAGCCTCTTAAGATGGAAGTTTACATCACTAATTTGAGAACTTTATACTTTTTTAATAAATGCTATAAAGTTCCTTCTAAGCACCACTTTATTTGCATCCCACAAATTTTGGTATGCTGTGTTTTAAATTTTCATTCAATTCAAAGTATTTTCTAATTTTTCCTGTGATTTCTTCTTAACTCATGGGTTACTCAAAAATATAATGTTTAGCTTCCAAATATTTGGAAACTTTCTATATATCTTTCTATTATAATTTTCAAATCAATTTTAATATGGTCAGACCACAAACTCTGTGATTTCAAATCTTTTAAATTTACTAAGAATTGTTCTGTGACCCATCTGGGAGAATGTTCCACGTGCTTGAAAAGACTGTGTATCCTGCAGTTATTGGGTGGAGTGCTCAATAACTGTCAAGTCTGTCAGGGGGGTGCTAGTGTTTTAGTGCCCTGCGTCCCTACAAATTTTTTGTCTACTTATTCGGACAATTATAGACCTTCAAGTAGTCTAATCTGATACAGAGTTATAACATATGATGGTATTTCTCAACTTCAGAAGGTTCAAAGTACTCATTGGGACAAAAAATCAAGTGGAGTTTTTCCCCAAACTCCAGCTCTTATCCTTTCTAGGCTGCTCCTCTGTTGGTTCCTGCCCTGTATCTTTTTCCTCTCTTTTTCCTTTTCTTCTGCTCCCAATGACTCACCACCAAACTGACCTCTCCTTCTGGTCTTCCACACAGAACTACCCAAGAAGCCAGAGCCTGTCCACGGTTGTTATCCTCCTCCCTGTTCTCTCTTTGCTTTTAATATTTGTAATAAATATATTTTATTGTTTTGCCTTCTTATTCTATTCCCCTGATATTCATCACCCTTAGTCACATCCCCATGTTTATTTTTATTGGTGGAAATGGACACTCCCAACCCCTTGCAGCAGAAAAGAGGGAAAAAAAAAAAAAACAGTGACTCCCCAGGCAAGTTTAGAAAGTGGGTGATGTCAAAGCCCTGGCACACCTACCTGCCACACCTGCCCACTGTCCAAACGCCACCACCCGTAGTCCTCTATGATCCACCATTTTCTCATAATCAATAAGTCGGATTTCCTGAAGAAAGGATAAACAATTTCTCAACCAGACCCATCAAGCTTAATTTCAATGAGTAAAGCACATATATGAGCAAGTAAGTATTTCACATTTTTTCCTCTTATAAAATATATCTTGACCTGCTAACATAAGTTACCATCAGGTGTACCATGAAATATTTATAAAATGCCAGGTTACAAACCAATGATAGGTTTGCGATTAGAGATGAAAGAATGGTCCTAGCAGGGTGCTAAACATCCCTTGATGGTAGTCGAAAAAACAACAAAGACATGATTTCCGTTAACTCTTAGTTCAGCACCATCTACAAACATATCTACAGCCTCACGCATCTTTTCTTCTATTCTCAAAGAAAATGAGTCCCTCCTAAGACTAATCCTGTGAGCTAGAGCCCAGCTTTTTTCCATATCCTCCAACCACTCCTCTTGAACTTTTTCTCTTTCCTGCATCATCCCTTTTTACATTTCTTTTTCCCCTCAGCCATTCCAAATACACACAGGTCTCTTCTACCTTAAAAATAATAACATTCCCTCTCAAGTCTGTACACAAATCCATCTCATTCTCTCTCCCTCCCTCTCCCTCTGTCTCTCTTGTATTCTCTGTCTATCTCTTTCCCTCTCTCTCTCTCTGTCTCTCTCTCTCTCTTTGTTCTCTCTCCATCTCTTCACAAGTAAGCTTCATTTAAAAAGTAGCACATGCTGCCTGCTTTTCACTCCTTCACCTTCACTAAAACCACATCTTCCACTTTCCTTGAAAATCTTCCCTCTCCCGGCAACGGCTCATTAATTCATGCTTAAAAGCTATTAACACACTGGAATTATAGGAAGTTTTAAACATTTTATTTCCTCAAAGATCATACGATTTTTGCCATGTGCATGAATTTAATAACGTTTAATATTCATTTAACTACAAGTAATTGGTTACAAAATTCTGCCAAAATCAACCCTGCTGGGTCTGTTTTTATTAGTTTTCTTGCGATGAACAGAAGTTCATATAACAAAAAGTGTTTTTAAAGTACTTTTTAAGGAGTTTATCTGCTTACGGTGAAACATTCTTCTTATAATATTATTTCTATTAATTACTTTTTGAATTTGTTCTTTAGAAACACTGCAAATTAACTACAGCCCAGGGCTAGCATACTTGAAATTAGTAGGAATGTATTCTATATTTCTGTATAAAATACATTTTCCTCCATTGCTTCTACTGTTTGTGAACTCTCCTTTCCTCTGTCCTGTTCGCAGATTCTAGTCTAGTTTCTGATGCTCTAATATCCTCACCCCAGGACTTGGACCTTGGACTTCTCTATCTACACCCACTCCCTACCCTCCTCCAGTCTCACGGCTTTAGATACCATCTAGTCTCTGACAACTACAAAACGTATCAGGAGGAGCTGCCCTCCTGAGCTACAAATTCACATTCAGTGGTCCACTCAGTATCGCCTTTTAAACGTCTAACGGACAAATTAAACTAAACAGGCCTGAAATTCAACTCTTGATCCTCCCATCCAAGCCTGCTCCTCTTGCAGTAGCATCATCTTAATCTATGGCAACTCCTTTAAGTTTCTCAGGCCAAGATCTTGGAGTCATCTCTGACTCCTCTTTCTCTCATATTTCACACTCATTTCATCAGAGGATCCTGTAGGATCAGACCTCTAAAATACATCCAAGCTTTGTCCATGCATCACAACTTCCATTACCACCACTCTCATGCAAGCCCCCATCACTTGTTCCCTAGAGTCTAGACTAGCCCAGATTAACAATCATCTTATCGATTTTGTTCCCCTCCTTCCACCTCCAACTATTACCCACACAGCAGGCAGAATAAGCATTTTAGAGCATGAGTGATTCTAACGCTCCACTCAAAAAGCCCCTCGGGCCTTTTCACTACTATTCTCTCTGCTTCAGAGAGCCTGATTGGAAGACTCTTCCCAGATGGATATGACTTGATCCTTCACCTCCTTCAAATCTTTGCTCAAGGCCAACTTTGCAATGAGGCTCTCCCTGATCATCCTATTTAAACTAGCATCGTCACCCTCCCAGTGCCCAGCACTCATTTTCTCCTTCTGCCTCATATTTACCTCCATTACACAGATCACCAAGTGACATAGGAGGTGTCATTTATTTATCATCTCTCTCCTACCACTAGAATGTAAGTTCTGTGAAGACACAGATATTTTATTGCCATTGCAGTGAACACTGTCAGACACATTGTAGGTACTCAGTAAATATTTGTTGAATGCTTACTCTGTATTTTAAACAGTTGATAGTTCTTCCATAGTATTTATGTCTCAAAAATGCTTTTTTCCCTTATGAATGTTAATAAATGTAACAATAGTCTTTAGTCCAGTTCTGGCACTACAGAGCTATACAACCTCAGGGAAGTCACTTCACCTCTCTGGGCTCGCTCCATCTGAAAAATTACGGTGGTGGATTATATGATCCCTGAGGTTCTTTTCAGCTCTAAAATTCTACTTGGTAATATCTGACCAATAGATCTTATAAATTGGTCATCATTTGGCAGAAACACTTCTATCATTCTTTGCATTTCAGAATACAAAAGGAATGAAATATGTTTAGTTCCTCTATTGCAAACTCCAAATTTGCTCAGCAGAGGAACCCTAAGAGCAGCAGAACTTTCACTCACTAACTCAAAGGTCGCCTTTCCTACCGAAGTGAATAACATGATCTATTTCTCAGATGCCAAAAGAAAAACTATAACTCCGCTTGACAGTTAAAAGTTAAAAAATATTGTTTCTTTGTTAACATTTATGAATATTGGTTACTAATTACCTGTCTTAGAATCTCATCCAACAAGCTCATATTGGCCTCCTGAGCCTTGATTGTGTGGGAGAAGAAGGCATAAGTCTTCTTGGACATTAATTTTTCCTCTGGGGGTCTTTTAACTCCCAAAATTAGACAAGCTTCAGAGATATCCTCCTGAAGAATGCCACCAGCTTTGACATAATCCTGGGAATGTAATATTGGTTAAAAGTTATTCTGCTGATTTATTGTATTCTATTTTCTTTAATAAATAAGTGTTGCAATTAAAGGCACAATCTTTTGAAAGAATAAAATTTGTATGGATTAGAACAAATAATGGAATAACTACTTCTAATATTTTTACTTGAAAATTCAGCACATAATCATATTTAAGAACAGTGTATAGTTTGATCAAAACCACTAGCACATGTGATTTAAAAATATTTATTAAATGCATATTTTGTACCAACAATGCACTGAAACATTAAATGCTAAATAGTGATTTATTACTCAGGTGTATTTTTAGAAGAAAGACAGGTGTCTGCAATGTTTTTCTTTTTTTCTTTTGGTTCAATTAGTATTTATTATTGCCCTACTCTGTACAATGCACTGTGCTGGAGATGAGATGATAAGACACAAAGAAAAACAAACAAGATCCTCCCTGTAAAGGAGCTCACAAAATATAGTAAAAAGAAGTCAGGAACAAGTAAATGAGGCTGAACTCAAAAGAACATATGATCAGCAGAATCTAAGTGATGTATTAGTTTAATGGATAATGAGATAATTGCCAGGCGAAATGATCAAGGAAATACGGAAATTTAAATTAATCTGAAAGGCTGGGTAGAATGTGGAGAGATGGAGAGGGGAAATACAAGGTGGTAATATCAGTAAGAGAAATTGAAGGAATACATACAAACATGGAGGTAGGAAAGTAAGGTATTTAGGGTATAATGGGTAAATCTATCTGGAAAATAGACTGAACATAATCATGGCTAATGTGAGCTTCACTGGATAAAAACAATAATCATTGACATTTGTTAATAGTTACTATGCGCTTTGCTAAGCTTTTTGCATGAATTATCTCATTTAATTCTCATCAAACTCCCACAAGGTAGGTACTATTATTATTCCCATTTTATCAATAGGATACCTGAGGCTTACACAATTAACTTAGATTGCACAGCTAACACATGTGGGCAATAAACAGTCATTTCAGGTAGAAATAAAAAGGTGGCATTATCATTAAAAGAGCATCAAAGGTGGCAGTTGAATAAAATGAAGATAAATCTAGTTAGGAATCTCCTTCAAAGGAAAATATAGATGGATAGAAGAGATAGTAAAAGAATGAACACATGGTTCACACCTGGTTTCTTTGAAAACAGTCTATTTGCCCGCTTATGGTAGACTGGTTAAATAAACCACAATAAATCTTGGAGTAATTACTACACAGCCATTAAATAGAATAAAGCAGATCACTATGAACTGACATGGAGTGATTTCCAGGATACACTGTTGACTAAACAAAGCAAGGTGCAAAAGAGTATATATAGTATACAACCTTCATATAAGACTGAAGGGGAAATAAGAACACACATACACACACACATGCTTATTTTTGCAAAAAGAAATATAGGAATGATAGATCAGAAACTAAAGAAAATAGTAAACTACGGGGTGGATGGGAATACAATGTAAAGGATTAAGATGAGAGCAAGCCTTCTCTACATTACGTCTTTTTAAGTGGTTTTAATCTTTGAAACCTGTAAATGTTTAACTTCTTTGAAAAATAAAATTAAATCAAAAAAGATTTAAAAGCAAACATTAAAATTTAATAGAAACAATAATAAATGAATCCAGCTAGACATCACACTGAAATTTAACCACATAGAAAAAAATCATTCAAATAACTTTTGAACACAGCATTGTGAATGTTCTCTGTGAGATGTAGTCAAAAGGGGGGAAAAAAAACTTCAAAGATATATTAAACTCCATTTAATACATTTATTGTTAGTTATAATATTAGTATTGTGATTCCAAAACTATTTCATGTATATTATAGGATAAAGCAAAAATTGTGCATTAACGTTATGAGGAATTAAGATTTTTGCTCTTGGAGAAAACAGATGCAAACATAAAATTTTAAAGGTAAGAAAAATCTGCAATGTTAAATTTTAACTGGAAATATCAGTATTAACTCAGATTAAATAATATATATGTATGTGTCTGTGTCTATGTATTTCTTAGCTCCGTCCACTGAAAGAGCCCAAGAGCAACAATATCTCAGTAACAATAAGCATATCTAACACCAGATACCAGACCTTGGTTTCTATTTACTAAAAGAAATCAGGGCTCCCTGATGAAATGGCCAATTCCCAGGTGTGGGGCAGAAAAAGCACAAGGTGAGGCTAGGACAATTTGTTGTTGCAGGAAACAAGAAAACTCAAATGCATTTATGTCCAAAGGACATAGGAGGCCCCTTAAAGGGAGTCTCACCACCCCAAATTTGGGATAATTAGAACATTAAACAGACTAATCGTTAACGGATTGTCATACATTAAAGGAAAAAGCCCCATGCATCCATAATGATACTCAAAAGAGCAAGAGAGAAGGGAGAAACTAAGCGAAATCTCTTCTACGAAGAATATCAGCGAATAAACTTAGGAGAGTGATAAAATCAGAAAATCCTCACTTTCTAAGCCTCTCTGTAAAAATCGATTCAGGCAAAGATTATCAATGGATGCTAACATCATTAGTTGAAAGGTTGTTGAGGAACAAGGAAATCACAGGTCTCAAAATATCATCCCACAGATGACTCCGTAATTACAAAGGGAGACAGGCAGTTTTACATTGGAGAGATCTGGTGGGAACCACCTCAGTCAAGTGATTGCACAATCCTGACCACATGACAACCTGATATTTTGTGTCTTTGATGTCATACAATGGGAAGAACATATATCACTTATGTAACATCCATGTCGAAAGTGTTTAACCTGAATCTAATCATGAGGAAACAACCAAACTAGTTAATCCAAAAGGTCAACTGGCCTGGATTCTTCAAAAAGAGTCAATGTCACTGAAACAAAAATCAAAAGAGGGGTGCTGTTCTAGATTAAAAGAACTAAAGAGACATAAATGCAACAAACCTTAATTAAGCCTCAGTTAAAATAAAAGACTATAAAAGGCATGTGAGACAATGAGGAATTTGAACATGGACTATATGAGATGATATTATGGAATTACTAATTTCTTAGGCGTGAAAATGATACAGCAGTTATGTAGGAAAATGATCTATTCCTAGGAGATGCACACTGAAGCATTTAGTAGTAAAGTGTCATGATGTCTGCAACCTATTTTCCAATGGTTTAGGGAAGAAAAACACATGTATACCTCTAAAATGGAAATAAGAGTCAAACCTACATCATAAGATTCTTGTGAGGAGTAAACTGAATAATGAACGTAAAGTGCTTCACACAGTGGCTGGCAAGGTAAACTCATAAGTCAACTCTACTCAACAGTGTTTCCTGGAGGCAAGTCCCATAAGTCAATAAGACAGTAGTGTCGTTGATCTTTGCCTCCCCTGTCACATAACCAGGGTGCCACATGGAGAGAATAACTGAAGGATATCCTCTCCTTCTGAAATTAATCCCTGTATCCCTCAGCTGAAGAAAGCATGGAATAGCATGAAAATAATACTTCTGGCTGAATTCTAGACTTGAGTAAGGATTCTAACTAGAAATCTCATTATAATCAAAATAAAGCAATATTGCCATCTGGTATTTAAGTGACACTAGCAAACATTTTATTTACACTCAGATGCTCCTTAATTTTTATGTACAGGTTCATTTTATTCCCATATTTTTTTAAAAATTGGAAATATTTACCTTATCATGAATGGCCCGCCGATTTGAAGGCTGAATTAAGACCTTGTATCCCAGGTTGGTGAGCCCTTTGATGTGCCGGGGAGCCAGAGGCGCCCTTCTCTCCCAGGCGTTCACATCCTCCCGCCTCAAGGCCATCACAGCTTTGTGGTGGAGCCCTCTGGAGACGCTGAGCACCAGCCTGCCCAGTTTGGTCCTATGAACTTGCAGCATCTTGAAGCCTGGTGACTGTAAAGACATCATAAGAGAACAGGACAACAAAAGGCAGGAGGGCTCACAGATCAGTTCTGGTCTCCTGAGAAATCTGCTGTAAAATCTAACCAACTCAGATGATAGCAGATACCAGAAAGAGAAGAGGGGAGGGAAAACCTGGATACAAAGTGTTCCTTTACTCAAACAAACCCGAATTCCCACAAACAAGGTTATTTATTTCCAAAATAAAAACAAGTACAGGGCAACTTGTGGGACACTAACCAATAACTGCTAAGCTGAAATAGTTTTTTAAATATACATTTTATCAAACATCTATTCCACACAAAAGTTTTAAGCAAGTTAACCTACAATTCAAATACAGGAAGACAATATATGCCAATACTGATGACGCAAAGTTTGGAATCCTTTAACTGTGCACAAGATTCTCGGCAATCTAGCTCCAACCTCTTTCGAGTTTCATCTCTGACCATTCTCTAAACGCGTGCTACTCAGAGTGTGTTTTGCAGCCTGTTGTCCATCAGTGAACTGCTTATTACTAGTCTGAGATAAGATATGTACAGAAATAGAAGGTAGGCACTTAGAAACCTTTATATCACATGATAATTCTTCTAGTAATTCATTGTTATTGAATTTTATGAAAGCATTGGTCTCGGCAGATTGGAAATTTAAGAAAACAAAACAAACATGTTCCTTCAGCACAGGTGCTAGAAGTTTAAGAAGCATGGCCCTAACTTGCCCCTCCCAGCCTGAGACCCCCAGCCTCACCCTCACTGACCCTCTTGTTCCTCCAAACACGCTGTCCCCAGGTTTTCTCTCCAGTCCACATCATCCTGCTATTACATTAAACCCGGGATTGTCTCCATCCATTTTCTAACTGCTATTCCAGCATAATTCCACTCATTTAATCAAGAAATGTTTACAAGAGGCTTACTATGTGTTCACATAGAGTCAATTTTATACAAATTGTTAAAGCATAAATATCAACAGCATTCTTTCCCTCTTCAAACGGTTACACACATTTAGTAGTCAAATGTCATTTCAGATGATAATTTGTTGGATCATTTGGGTACTAAACCTTAGTTTTCTATGTTTAAGGTTGGCATCAAAATACTATAGGGACTAAATGATTTCACATCTTCTAGAAATTTCCAACCAATTACTGCTACATTATAGCAAATTCTTACGGAACACATTTCTGCTACATCAGGTTGCAACCTCTAAGTCAGACCCATCTTACAGATGGGGAAAGTCTGTCCAAATACTGGAGCATACAAGTACATTCCTGGGGGCAAACAACTACTTGCTACCCGAGATAGAAAATTTATAGGTCAACTCACAACACGACAGACTAAAAGAATAAAGCCAACGGCAAGGAGTCCAGCTAAGAAGGCTTTAGGAAGAAGAGGGGCAGGAAGAGAAGACACTGCACACAGGAAGTGAACCACTGATGATGACTCAGGCCAAAATATGGATGATTAACATTTCCTGAAAGACTGGTTTATACTCTCGCTAATTCTTGGTTTATTTACATAGTTTTGTTTTTAAAAGAGACTACATTAGTCCAAACCCAAGCCCAAGCCCATAGCATTTATTCTCCCCCAAGCCAAAGGAAAAGCTGCAAGGTCCCATAGAACTTGAATCCCTATGTTCTTAAATAAAACCCATTCCAAAGACAAGTGATCCATTAGAACACATGGATCAGCCCAGAAACGGATCCAACTTCCCAGCAGGGGCTGTATTTCACATACCATATGTGACCAAGTGACCTTACAGCCTCTATTCTTAGTACCAATTCTTGGCACTAACATGAGGGAACACGATCAGATAATTTAATCTCTCCCCTCAGTCCATACTTGATTTATAATCACAGCCTCCTCTCACTCAATGACCATCCCTCCTCCTCCTCCCCACCTGTTTTGTCTGGGGTGGGGGGTTCGGTGTGAGAGGAGAGATACAGACACATACACACATGTAATACACACATACATTTTTTTTTCTTTTTCTTTCTTTTTTTTTTTTTGTGAGGAAGATCAGCCCTGAGCTAACATCCATGCTAATCCTCCTCTTTTTGCTGAGGAAGACCGGCTTTGAGCTAACATCTATTACCAATCCTCCTCTTTTTTTTTTTTTTTTCCAAAGCCCCAGTAGATAGTTGTGTGTCATAGTTGCACATCCTTCTAGTTGCTGTACGTGGGACTCAGCCTCAGCATGGCCGGAGAAGCAGTGCGTCGGTGCGCACCCGGGATCCAAACCCTGGCCGCCAGTAGCGGAGTGCACGCACTTAACCGTTAAGCCACGGGGTCAGCCCCCACACATATATATTTGCAAAGGCAGACTTTCTATGGGGACTAGGAAAGGAAAGTGACAGGGGCTGACCTTCTGGAGTTTATTTGGGAAGCTGTTTCACTTTCACTTTTTGTAGGGAATTCTTAAATCATAATTCCTGTAACTTTGTTTCTAAACAAATGTAATAATAGTTACCACTGATTTAACATTATATGCCAAGCACTATGCTGAGCACTTTACAGATTTTATTTCAGTTCCTCCTTGAAAAATCTTATTAAGTAAGTACTATTATCCTTATTTTACAGTTGAAGAAACTGAACTGGAGTCTGACTAGATCTGTTGCTTTTAAACAGAAGCAGGATTCCTAGGTTAATATTTAACACTCGGGATTTTCTCTTCTTTGCCAAAACCTGCAGATCCATATGACATCAACTTAAATAGCTATAGTAAATGATTAATTCTCCCCCGCACCCTCCTCCCCGCCCCGGCAGGGGATGGGTGCCTCTATCACATCCCTTTCCTATGTACCACTAAAAATCTTTCCTACGTCTCTGCCAAGGCAAATTCTAGGTTTCTGGGTGGTTAGAAAATGATTTGATTATAGCAGGTATGACTATGTTAGTAATCACCTGAACCGTGAAACAGTCTCAGCATAGACTTTCTGGGCCCATTATTCATTTCATTCTAAGGTCATCAAGAAATAAGTAACAGTAAGGATTTCTGAATTGCTCTTAAGTAGGGCACTGCAGGTGTCTGGTCTTTCATGGAAATGCCCAAGTGGGCTGTTCTCTACTTCCCTGTCCTGGATTTTGTGGGCTTTTCTAAGTATATCAGGAAGTAAATGTGATGTATATTTCTGGCACTGCCTTCAGTGAAACAAAGCAGGAAGACCCCTGGCTTACACATTGGCTCTAGCGAGGTTAATTGACAGTGCTGGTATTGATGACAGCCTGTAGCATGAGCAAGGAGGATGTGGAGAAGACAGAGGAGGAGAGAAGGAAAAGAAAGAGCTAGGGAGAATAAGGAGGAGGTAGAGGAGAGGAGGAATAAGGGAGAGAAAGAGAAGCATCTCATGGGCAGGGAGGCAGAACAAGACCCTTCCCCTGACAATTTCTAACAGTCTTCTCTTCAACGAAGGGCTAACGCTGCAAATAGCATAAAAATGAAATTTAAAAGATTCTTCTCTATGTTTTTGTAAAACAAGAACAGCACTAAGGTATACATTTTTCTTACCTAGGATTGATCAGAAATTTGAAATATCTCTAAAAGTCATGGGAGTATCATAGTGAGTTGCACAGCCATGCACTGAGATAGGAGGACAGTCAGTGGAGGGACTCTCGCAATAGAGTCTAGCAATACAGCATACTGTATGATACCACCTTACCTCTCTTTCCATCTCTCAACCAGAAGAAGGCTTACAAATTTCTCTTGATTTACAAATTATCTACCACTGCAACATATAGATGAGAATGGGAGGCAGGGAACATGCTTAAATGTTCTTTGTATTTTCTATCCTCTTCAAGAGAAATGAGAAGGGAAATGCTTATTAGAGAGATGGAGAGATAGAGAAGAGACAGAGAGAGAGATGGATAGACAGAGCTTTGCGCTCCACACATATCCCATCATTTTCTTTCAGTGACCATGAAATAAACCATGGTCACTGAATACATCATCACCCTAAATCACATGAAAGAATCAAAGAAGATTTTGTGAGGTGTGTTTATAAAAGATTTTACCTGAAGAAAAGCCACTCTCAAGGGCAGAGGACCTCATATGCAGTTTGGAAGGTCCTTTCAAATGGTCAGCAGACTGGTCTTTTGTACAACTGCATATATTAATATAGTAGTAGCTAGTCATTTATTTCTAGCATGAATATTTTACAGTTTTTAAATAAAAATATAATAAAAGCTAGATTATCACTTTAATTGATCATAGTTGATTATGGGACAGGTGTTTTGATTTTCCTTCTTTAATTCAAAAAAATATTTTGGGAGTCCTTAAGGTATGTAGAGCATGATGTTAGGTACCTGTAAAGCAGCAATCTAGGCCCTGCTCACTTCCATGGGATCTAACAGGAGCAGGATGGGACAGTTTTATCTAATTAAGTGGGCCCAATCAAAATCTGATGGTGAATTATCAATTACTGATTATAACTGAATATTAGAGTCAGAATGGACCTGATAATACAAATGAAGGTAGTGAAGCCCATAGAAATAAGGGATTTTCCACACTTCTTAAAAAACATTTTCCAAGCCTCTATGCACGAACCATAATAAAACAGCCTGCTGTTCTGGTATAACTTTTCGACGTAACTGCATTAGGTTACATTTATCTGCTATTGTTCAGGTATACCTATGCCACAAAACAATGTATTTGATTTGTGCTGGTTTTCCTGAGCAAGAGCGGTAGGTGGATGAAGAGTGCTGAGGTCTACATAGAGCTTTTTATTCTTCCATCAAGTATTCAAAAATCCTTTAAGTCTCTTCAATCCTTTCCATAGCACCAACCTAACCAGAAAACTTGTTAAACCTGAAGACCACCCATCTAAACCAGAACAATGAACAAGCAAATACAAGAGCTTAAGTATAAAAAGGGCTAGGCTTGGCTCCTCCTAATTTCTGTTGCTTCCATTGGGACATGTATAAAAATTACAAATTCATTATTGAAGAAATTAAGGCCAAATCTTCCATCTCTAGGTCCTGTATTCAGAGATGCACTCTTTGCCTTTATATTTTAGATCTTTAAAACAGTGTCACTAGAACATAATTCAGTTACTCAACCTAAAACTATTAAATCACACTGGGAGATTTCTCAATGCTGTGTTATTCGTCATAATCGGGCATACATCTTGATTAAATATTGAGAGACTAAGAATAGAGTAGCCTTGAGTTGAAGGAAATAAGGCAATGGATGAGAAATGCAAATGATTTATATCTACCCTTCCAGTTCATTCCAAAAATGCAAGTGTATTTAAAAAGCCATGGTTTCCCAGGAAGCCCTGGTACTGTAAATAGGGTGGGCAGCTCCACGGCCATGAGCCTTGGTCCACACTACATATTTGGTATCCAGACCATAACAATCTCAGAGAGGTCCCAAAGAGTTCCAAATTAATAGGACACCTGGTGATGGCCTAGAACTAATCCAAATACCTCCCAACCCCAAGGCTTGCTAGAACTAGGCTTGGGCGTGCAGCAACACTGTCCTCCACACTTTCACTTCCTGTTGCCTAGGTACATTCTTCTAACACTTCCACGTTAAACCCCTTATAAAATAGCTAGCCAGAAGTTAAAAAAACAAGTAGACTTGTGGGGGATGGGGGGAGTCTATTAGTATTAATTAATCTTGTCTAGGAATATTCATATGTTCTCAAGCCCATCAGCTACTCAAAGTCATCCAAAGATACAAGACCCATGACTGTCCTGGTCTCTAGTCCACAAATTTAGTTTCACTGAGACGCAAGGCAAAGTTCTAAATTGGAGTCTAATCCAAAATGTTTATCTGCTTATTTGTCTCTTTACTAAACTGTAAATGCTTTGAGGGAATGAATTGTATTATTCATCTCTGTGACTGGCGCGTAGGAGAACTCAAATGTTTTAAGAAAGACTGAATGAATAAAAGAGCACATTTAAATGCACATCATAAAGACCTATGCAGCAGAGAAAACAAAATAGACACACGAATAAGGACAGGGACTTATATCTCCTCCCCTCCACCCGCCACAATACCCCACAAAAGATCAATCCTCTGCCAAGATTTCATAGACCAATGAATGTTATGAAATGTAATACAAAACGGTAGGAAAATCCAGAGCTTGGAGCTAAGACATTTAACTAGCTATGGGGTTGCTTCTCTGGACCTCAGTGTCCTCATCCAGACTGGAATATAATACTAGAGTCCTTTTCAGCTCTAATATCTTGCTTCTATTAAGCAGAGGAGTGACTGGGCACTATGGATTACAAAAGCATTAGAATTTTAAAACATAAATACATACTCTGATTCATGAAGATCTAGCGAAAGTACACTAAATAGGGAAACCAAACACCAAAACACTATGGAAGATAGAACATTTACCCAGGTTACCTCTTTTTTTTTTTCTTTTTTTTATAACTAGACGAGAACTAGTTTATTTATTTTTTTCTTTTTTCTCCCCAAAGCCCCCAGCACACAGTTGTATATCCTAGTTGTAGGTCTTTCTAATTCTTCTATGTGGGATGCCGCCTCAGCAGGGCTTGATGAGCAGTGAGTAGGTCCGCACCCAGGATCTGAACCAGCGAACCCCAGGCCCCAGAAGCACAGTGCGTGAACTAAACTGCTGCGCCACCGGGCTGGCCCCTAGGTTATCTCATTAACTGCAATGTCCGGGACCCCAGAGCTTGCAACAGGAGAGGGATACCTCAAAGGCACATTGACTCTCCTCCATGGCCTGGGTTCCTCGGCTCCCTGCTTACTCTGTGACATTGGTGCATAACCTAACCTGTCTGTGTCTCATCTTCAAAATGAAGTCATAGTAAGGTCTACTTCTCAGGGCTGTTGGGAAGTTTATTTGAGCTAATGTGCATAAAGTGCTGAACACTGCCTTGCATGCCGTAAACACTCAATAAATGTGAAGAAAAAGGCTCCAAGCCTGCCCAATCCTCAAAGGTGAACACAACCACCCCACTAACAGAAGACACTATCTTCCCTTCCTCTTTGTCACACTATGGTAAGGCCTTCACAATGGCTCCATATTAATGTCCCCCACCTTATATTTTTCAGGGAAAAAAAATGGTGCCCAACAAGCCCTCTCTTCAATTTCACCCTTTAGGCATGGCTGTTCAAAGATAAATAACTTACCATTTTAATCTTGTATTTCATCAAATTCAAGACACATTTTTTTCACATTTTAGCATCCTTGAAATAGGGGTGCATCTTACAACTGACAGCATCTTAGATTTGATGAATATGGTAATAACGTTGTTGGTTATTTCTCATTCCAAATGTACAGTGTTTCTGTGATTCTGTGAATTCCATAGAATTTTACATGGCCTCACCAAGGAAACTTGCCACTGTTTGTAATGTTATTTCCATGAGAAAATTAATAAAAGAATATTTGGAAAAATGAAAACTTTTTTGTTAAATGGACACTGACTACACCACCAAAGATCACTTCCAAAATCCTGTGCCAAGGTCAGTTAAGGCTTAAATAAAGGACTAGTTAGGGGGAAAAATTTCGATTGCAAATAAAGTTCTGATGATGCTGTCACCAATAAGAAGTGAGATTGATAACAAATATGATTTTCTGGAGAGTAGGAAAGTCAGTGGGGAAGGTTGGCTTAAACCTTCGTCCTCCTAACTCACTTTGCAGAATGGCCACCAGTTTACATTGCCAGAAGGTCATGTAGCCCTAGGTTCACTCAACGTCATGGGGAAAAAAAGGAGACAGACGTGCAAGTGACAAAATCCACACACACAGAGACACGCACACGTCCGCATAAAGTGCTATCGGTAGTACGTGAAAGTCACTGCCTGAGTCAATGATCATTCAGTCTTGTGTACAGCCACATCAGCATAATCACAGCTATATCTCCACATTCGGATAACTGATGAGCCACAGTATCAAAAAATGTTCATCTTTTTTTCAGGTTACTGAGCACTCTCTCTCTCCCCCTCTTCCCATGCCCCACCCACCCCACTCTTCTTCTGAAAGTTGTCAGGACGTTTAGCCTCGTTCAACCAAGCAGAGTAGGCAACAAACTGCTTCACCCGCGTCGCCTCCCCGCTCAAGAGCTCACAGGGGCCGCCACAACCCCTGCTGGGTCTCAGGAGTTCAGGCGACGATGTCACCCCAGGCGCCCAACTTTCTCACACCGCCTATCTCTGTTAGAGTGCACAGAAGGAGCAACAGCTTGCTGGGGGTTGGGGGGCGGCGGGATTGGTGCTCTCTCTCTCAGAGAGAATGGCCAGCCCGAGACGGCCAGGGTAAGTTTTGTGATCAGTTTGGCTAAGCAGGCCAGAACTGGAAAGGTCAACCGGTAACCGCGCAGAAAGAAACCTGGGGGATGGAGATGGGGTGGAGGGGGATTGCCACCACCATCTCCATCAACCCCCCCACCCCCGCAGCCAGCCATCCTAAATAAGCATACAGTCCAAGAATTAACGCGTTCGTTCTGCAGCTTCAACCCCGATCCTTGACTCCGCGACAACCGCACCCCCTCCCTCCACGCCCAAAAAAGAAAAGAAATCCGAATGCCATCCCTTCCCCCTTCCTAGTCAGAAATTCCGGAGCTGGCCGACTGCCCTCGCTCGCTCGGAGGGGAGGCCTGGCAGCGAGGCCCCAGCGCCCGCCGCCCTCTCTGCCTTGCTCCTCCGGCACCCGCCGGGTCCGCGAGTCGGGTCGCCCGCGGCGCAGGGAGCGGGAGGCCGAGCTCGCCCCCCTCCCCGCGGACGGCCGAGTCCCGCCGGCCCTCTCCAAGCGCACGTCGCGGGCTGAGCCCCCCGCACCTGCTCAGCCCCCACCGAGCACCCCTCCTCACCTCGTCCCCTCTGGGGCGCCGACCCGTCCCGCCGCCTCCGAGCTTCCGGGTCGGGGCAGGGCAGGCTCCGAATTCCCAGCCAGAAATTGGGAAGGGGGTCGGAGGAGAGGGCGTTTGCTCAACTTCTGAGGCCGTCACTCCTCTCTCCCTCCCGCAGCCAATCAGCGGCCTCCCTGAGGGAACAACCTTCTTCTCTGCCAATCGGCGGCGCTGCCAGGCGCTAGGCCACGCCCCTTCCCTGCTCCTGCCCGAAAATCCTTCTGCCTTTAAGATCTCCGACATGCGTCATTAGTTGAGGGCGTTACGTCCTCCCAGGACAGTTATTGACCAGGTCTATAACTGTCCGCAGCAGAGGACAGGCGGAGACGGGGAAGGATGAAAATAGTCCGGGCATTACACGCTAAATAGATGTGTGCACCTCCTGGAAAAAAGTTGCGAGCTAATGTAGGTCAGAATTGTTTAGCGATATACACTTTTCAAAGTACTTTCACAGCTTCGTAACAAGCCTATGAAGCCAGATGACAGTTCTTAAAATCCAGCAAAGTTGAGTTTTAGAGTACAGCAAACTGAGACTGAGAAATTAAGTGCAGCATATCTACATCCAATAAATATTAAGAATCCATGTGCATATGACAAAGTCCAATGTTCTTTAAAAGTCCTAACTAAGCGGCTTTAGAGGGACAGGCAAAAATGCGTTTCGTAAAGACTTAGCCTCAGCACTAGAGGCTGAAGAAACGCCTGAAGCCCCTCTGTGGTCCTCCTAGGGAGTCAATGGCCAGAGGGTAATCTTTCCTCCTATTTTTATAACTTCTCCAACACTTACACTTTTCTCATGCCTGCCACAAATGTGTTCAACTATTAAACTCTCATGTCTAACAATCTAGAACTTAGAACATTCTTATAAACTCCACTCACATCTCCAATTGCAGAGAAAATTTAGAATCTTCTCTGCAAGTTGGGATTTTCCTCTGTATCTTTAGCTTCACTTATCCAAAATCATGTTCCCAATCACTCCTCTAAAGCCTTCCCTTCTTGCTCTGTTTCCCAGCTTTGTTCTTGATATCACCAACTTCCTAACCACCACCTAGCCAGGCCTGAAACACCAAATTTGCTTCAGTTCTTCCTTTGGCCTGTCAACCTTACCCACGGTGTTGATTCTGTCCTTTAAAATCCCTCTATTACTCTCATTCAGATCCCATTTATACACAACCTAGACCATATTCCTTTAAGCACACAACTCTGATCAACTCATTGGCCGGAGCAAAAAGCCTCTGGGGCTACACACTATTCGTAGGACATTGCCCAAAGTCCTTCATACAATGTGTGGGTTGCTTCAAGATATGGCCAAAATCAGTCACGTCAGCTTTATTTCTACGGCAGAACCAGCCTGAAACCAACACTGAAACACAATCTGTGCTTTGCCATCTCCCTAAGGATTAAGAGCCTGGATCAGAATCCTTACTTTTCCCCCTCAAGCTGTAAATCATGGGTGAGTTACTTAGTTTTCAAAAAAGGCTAGGTTCCATTATCTGTTAATAGGGTAATGATAGGAACTACTTCATGAGGTCATTATGAGGATAAAAATGAGATGATGTCCAAAGTGTTCTGCCAAGTGTCTAGCTAAAGAAACGCAATTATTATTGATTTTTCCTCAAATATCTCATGTTGTCCAGTTATCTGCAATTCTCACTCACAAAAATGTCCACCTCTCTAAAACTAACCCATTCTTTAGGGTTCAGCTCAAATGCCACTTTATCAATGAAGCCTTCCTGAATATTCCAACCAGCTATGATCTCTCCCTTCTCTCTTATATATCTACCTCTCCTGTTGTACTCACCACAGTCTTCTTTATATAATAGTTACCTGTGTTTTCTTATCTCCATCCCTCACCTGTCATCACCATCAGATCATAAAAACCTTAATAAAAGCAAGTATACATACTTCGTCTTACTCACTTTTTCTTTCCATTACTTCTAGAACAATGTGATAGTTCAGTCAGGGTCTCAGAAAGAAACAGATGGTACAATCCAACTGGTAAATTAGGAGACTTGAAGGGATTAACTGTGTGCAGGGATAAAAGAAGGCAATAAAAGACGGTGACCCACCCTGGGACTAGCAACAGTGAGAACTGCTTGTAGGCCTTAACAGGGCCAGGGGAAGAGAAGGTTACCAGAACTCAGCAAGAGCTCTGGCTGTGGTGTAGCTGAAGCTACACAGAGTGTCACCTAACAGTGTTGGCTTCTGGAAGGATGGAGCTGCCTAAGGAATCGATAACCCCGCCCAGAGAGAGAGCTACCTAAGGCAGGGGTCACAAACTTTTTTCTGCAAAGGGCCAGAAAATAAATATTTTAGGATTTGCAGGCCATAGAGTGTCTGTGACAATTACCCACGTCTGCCATTTGCAGTGTAAGAGCAGCCACAGACGGTACTCAGATGGATAGGCAGGGCTGTGCGCCATAAAACTTTATTCATAAAAATAAACCGCAGGTCAGATATGGACTGAGGGTCATAGTTTGCAGACCCCTGGCTTAGGGAATGAAGAATCCTACTTTACTCTCCTGCTCTCCCATCTCTTGCTGGTGCCTTCTACTAACTGAACACAAGGAAAGACAGAGAGTTCGTGCAGTTCATAAGCCAGCCCCCCAGGGACAGAGCCGGTAGAGAAGGAGGCAGAAGTTCTGGAGGCTGCAAAGAATATCCAACTCAAAAGGTGTTCAGCAAATGCTCGTTGAAATTAATGAATCATGCAATAGGTCACTGTGAATTACTTTGAAAATGGTTGAACCCTCATCGGAAAACTACCAAAATTGCATTCCTGAATGGGCAAAGCCGGGAAAGGGTCCTGGACTGTGAAAACTCCACCAAGGGCCCATGAGGCTCACTCAGCTTCTCTCTTGCTTTACTTTGAAATCCCATGCACCTCTGACCTGCCACCACGATAAAACATTAACCTGGCCAAAATCCTTCCTCTGTGAATTCCAAACTACTCTTCAAATGCTTGCGGTATTCACGACTTTTGCAAAAGATGCACAAGAGAAATACGGTTTCTGTTAAATACTGTTAAAATGGGAGATTCGAATGTTTTTTGTCATAGTGATATTTGTTGTAATAAGTGTGACAGGTCTCATTTCTTCACAATGAAAAGGGACAATGGCTGACAGAAAAAACAAGGCTTGGATACATCCCATGTCAGCTCCCCCAGTCAACCTCTCACAAGCCCTCAATATGAGAGACCCCTTCCACCCATGTGGGGTGCTAGGTTGACACTCCTGAAATTGGCAAGTTGGTTCTAGGCCACTCAAGCTGGTTATCTTTCTCCCACCTTCTTTGGCCTTCTCTCTTCCCTAGTTGTTTCTTACTGTAGTTTTGTTCTTCCTGAGAGACCATGAGGGTATAGTTAGGCATATGGGCATTGGAGTGAGCCAGACCTAGACTTAATCTCTCCTTTGCCAACTCACTAGCAAGTCATTTTGTCTCTTTAAGCCTCATTTTCCCCATCAGGAAGGTGGGAAACATCATAGCATTCTCAAGAAGATTAGGTGATGCATAGTCTCCATATATGTGACCTACTATTGTGGCTTACTATTGTATTTTGTCTCATCCTCCCCTCCCCTTTCTTTGTATTCAGAATCCAGTCTCAATCTTAAGTGAACTTTGCCATAAAGAGAAAAGAGGTGAAGGTTCCATGGGAGGAGGAGGAAGGAATCCGGTGTGCTCCTAAGTTTATTCTATTGATTTCTCAATACTTTATATTTTCTACATGAACAGCAATTTTTACAATATGACCTATAATCTGCCCACCCTAATAAAATATTCCACTTATTATAAATAGAAGTTTCTTATAGAAGGAAAGTACCAAGTCAAATGTTGTATAAAATAAGAAATAGCTTAGAAAAGAAAAGTTTTCAAATGACAATCACTATTGTTGCCTATCTTGGGAATGAAACATACATTCTTTACCTTCAAGGAATTAGAAAACCTGATCAGGTAAAGCAAGAGCAGGAACCACCCACAGATAAATCACAATTCCTGCAAAGATTTTCTAGGTAGAGATAGTGATGTCCGCAGGGATTGTTTTTCTCCCCTATCCTTAGATGAAAGGAGCAGAAAAAACTAGTTCCTAGTTCACCTCCTCTACCATTAGCATTCCTTAGGGAACTTTCCTGAAAAAAATTCAAGAAAATTACAAGCCTCTTGGTATTTCCAGGGTCTACCTTTGTTGGTTTCTAATGCCTCAGAAAGTCCCCAAGGGTTCACGGCATCCTTAAGAGTTACGTGTGGAGGTGCACCCCACTGGGCAAGTTTGCTGCCTATCATCACCTGCTTAGTAACTATTATTATAGTCTACCAGGACTTCTAAATTTTCTGTTACACATCACTGTGTTGTATAAATTGAGTGAGAATTATATGCTATAATAATATAAACAAATTTGGGAAATGCAAATCTGGGAAATGCAAATTTGGGAATATATCTCCCTAATGATGGACCTGATGTATTCAAATCAAGGAAGAAAATCCAGTGCTCTTCCTCTCAGGCTTTCTTGAATGAAAGTCTTGAAAGAGAGGATGTCTTGAAGGACTGAAAAAAGATTGGAGAAAGGAGGGAGGAAGTAATTAAAGCAAAAATAAAACATAAATCTAATCTTTCTGAAGTAATTATAAGTGTAAATGGGCTGGAGACAACTAACAGTCCAGATTTAGGAGGTAGAAGAGTCAGGACTTTCTTATTCTAGTTCCTGTCTGGGTCAGGTCCTGAACAAATGAATCTTTTACAGTAGTCATCTCACTATAGAGATAGGAATGAGAAAAGAATATACAAATTATTTTTTGCAGTGTAAGGAGTAGCAGCTAGGAAAAATAATCTCAGCGTAGGCAAGGTCATAGCAGGAAGCATAAAATAAGATGGAGAAAGTACTCTGACATTGAACTGACTCGCATGATAATTGCCATATGTATAGCTCCTCAGAAACAAATGTAATAGAATTCGAAAGGAACGGAGAAAGAACATCAAAAAAGGATGCGCCCATTGTGTGGCGTAACATTGAC